GCATTGATGGGGATTGTCCTGTGCAGCTTTGGTTTGGAGTTCGAAGGCTCAGGAATTCATTTCTGCATCCCACAGAGACCCAAATTCTCTTGTTCTTCAAAGATCACCAAAGCTGAATATGTACCACAAAGAAAGAAGGAGGGAAAAGGAGTGTTTTAAATTAGAAAAATTTAATTATATCCTAATGCCAAAGTTTATTCCAGGATCCTTGGATCAAACATTTGAATTCAGCGAACTTAGTTTCAGAAGAGCTGATTGCTTGTTGTTTACATGCCCCATTTTGGGAAGGTAACATTTAGAGCTAAGCCAACATATGGTACAAAAACTCAGGCCATCCACTTGCAACCCATTTGAGTGGTGATAAGCTCATTGCGGGCAAATGTTTCTTTTTTCTTCTTTTCCATTCACTGCCTGCACGTGCTAGCAGAGTTATTATGGAAAGGATGGACAGTGGAAACTTTAAATAACCACACTGCTGCACGATCACTGGAAAAGCCTCATGAAAAACTAAGGGTTGGGCAAAAGTGCCATCAGATGCTGGGAAAAGAGAGAGAGGATGCACTGCACATTGTGTATTCCTCACATGGCGCTTTATATACACACTGTCCTAAAATCTGTATGTTGCAGAGCTGCTTCTCTGCCACCGCTAGCAATGGGGAAAGGGCCATCTTGCCAGGGGTTGAGAGAGGGGAAATTCACTCTCATCCCTTGGTGATGTCCACTAGCAGTGGAGAATCCAGGAAGCAAGGATGCTGAGGGAGGGTCTTATTGGACACTGAGGGATGCTTCTGCTTTTCCTTCCCTTAACTGAATCATAGGATAATAGAGTCAGAAGGGGCCAGGAAGGCCATCGAGTCCAGCCCTCTGCTGGTGCAGAACACCATTCCATCATCCCCATCAGATAACTGTCCCATTGCATCTTGACTGCATCTAGTGTGGAAGACCCCACAGCCTCTCTTGGCAGCTGGTTCCACCATCATACTGCTCTCACAGTCGAGACATTCTTCCTTGTGTCTAGCCTGCACCTGATGTACCGTAGTTTAAATCCATTGTTCCATGTCCTACAATCTGGGATGAGTGAAAAGAGCTCTCCTCCTCCTTCTTTGGGACTGGTTTTAAGGAACTTGTAGAGTGCCGTCATGTCACCAGGCCCAATCCTTTCAGCCTCGCATCCTAAGATGTCACTTCATCTTTGATGCCCTCCTCTGCACCCTCTCCAGATTATCAGCATCCTTTTTAAACCTGGGTGCCCAAAACTGAACGCTGTATTTCAGGTGAGGTCTAACTAAGGCAGAGTAGAAGGGAATTAGTTCTTCTCCGTTTCTGGAAGTGATACCTGCTGCTCCTAACAGCATTTCTAATTAATATTATTATTATTATTATTATTATTATTATTATTATTATTATTTCTGCTCCCTGTGTTGTGAGACAAATGGATGGGGTCAGACTGGGTCAGCAGGCTGCGATGGGGGTGATCAATGGTTGTGCACCCCTATTTTAGAGACACCTGATGGCCGAGTTGCCCAGTTCTGCTGGCTTGCCTTGGGCAAAGGGCCAGAGCAACCGTATTATCTATCTATCGCTTTTGTATACCATTCACAGCTGTCAAAGCTCTCAGAAAGGTTTACAACAAAACAAATAACAATATAACAGTATAACAGTTTAAAATGCATACAGTGATGCAGCAAATAAACCAAACCATATATAACAATAACATAGAATCAATAAAAATAAAAGCCATCCACAGAGGCCCTTCGCACCTTTGCCTGCCGTATCTTATACCCGCTCCCAGACCATGGTGCCCACAAGAAATATAATAACGTTCCTTTGTAATAGGCTTCCATGCAGTGTAGCTTGCAGGAGGGTGTGTTTTTCCATCTGCTCAACTCCCTGCAGCAAGGATCGTGTGGTCCTTAATAATGCATCCACTGTCAAGCATCGTGTGTCCCAGGGCAGGTTTCGCAAAGCATTATCATGGCCATTTGGCTATTTGGCTGCTCCTTGAGTTAGCCACAAGCGTCATTAAATGATAACGATAAATGATAATACCTTCCAATAGTTGAGATCTGCCAGTGTTAGTGCTGGCTCGAGATCTGCCAAGTGGCAGCATGAGGAATGATCCATCTGGCTTTCTGACAGATCTGCCCCAGAAGGCTGCTACGTATTGATCCCAGAAGGTCCTCAGATAGGGACTGCATGAGATGGAGAAGAAAGCTCTCCCGTATGGAAAGATAGTTTTAGGGGCGGGGGCTAGGGATGAGGGTTAGTGAGGGTAGCTGACAGTTGGGGGAGTAAGGCTAGGGGCCTAGGGTTAAGAGAATGAGGGTTAGGATTAGGGGTTTGGTAGATCCAGGACCACACACCCCCTACGCAATGCGGGCAGTAAGTTTAGGACTTAGAAACACCTTCTCCCAGTCTCCATGAGACAGCTCCCTGGGCATCTATTCTACTCTCCTCTGGGTGTCCTTCATCCTGTTGTGCTTTCTAAGGATATATAAGGTTAAGGATATATGCCTTTAAAAAACCCCTCTGGCTTCTGGTTCTGTTGTATTTATTGTGCTGTTGTATGTTTTTTATGCTTCCTTTATGGTTCAATCCTTTTAATGGGAGCCACCTCGGACACAGACTGGAAAGGAGGCATAGAAATGGAAGCGGTGTCATAAATATTTTGTGCAGATTAGCCCGAGAGCATTATTAACACAACAATGGGCAAGCTCTTTAGTGATGGAAGTGACAACATCACCTCAGATGCATATAGCATGACATGATAGAGTATTTTGCAAATTCTCACAAACATTTTCAGTGCTGAACTGGAGTCGGTGTACACAGAAATGCTCATTTTGCATCATTGGAACAGATTACTTATAAATACAGAAGAATCTGGAAGCCACAAGGAAACTGTGGAAGTCGTAAATGCGATAATTTCTCTGGCAGTGTTTCGTGTTGCAAGGTTGTTCAGTAGTGCCATTTCGTTCATCTTGTCCACATATTTCTGGGAAGTTGGTTGTTTATATTCCTTCTAAGAGATGGAAGCTAAAGAAGCGAACCTATTCATGACCACCTACTCAGACGATGGCCAACCGGGGATCTAAGCTCAAACTCTCAGGTTATATTCTAGAAAGGCTGTCAGTGTATAGGAAAGGGAACAAAATCAGCTTGTCCTTTCATGCATTCAGTTGTTTCCAACCCCAAAATCTGTGCTGAGTATGGACAAGTTGATATTTTTTTGAAGCTGTGGAAAGCTGCAATTCCTCACTCTCTAATATGAAGAATCAATGGATTATTCAAAGGTTCCTTGGCTCCCTACGTGACTCGCGGCATTTGCATTTCCTTCATGGGACAGTAGCCAGGACATAAAGGAGGAGTAGGAATGGTAGAGGCTGTGCTTACAGGTTCTGACCAGCACTTCTCTGGTTAGAACTTGTTTAGGTGCCAGCGCTGGGTCCAAGGGATAGATGCTTCCAGATGAGTCATCTCCGCACCTTCACCTTTTCTCAGGCACAAAATTTTACAGGAATGGTGTGTGTGTGTGTGTGTGTGTGTGTGTGTGTGTCAGTCAGAAGACAACTGACTTCTAACACTAGACTCAAAACCAAAATAAAACCAGTCCCCATCCCTTAGTATGCTACCTTCCCCCCCCCCCACCCGTTTCCGCATTGCTACATTCATGAGCTGGAAAGGACTAATTCCATTGCAGTGATGTAATGATAAAGGAAACCAACCGCTTTTGAAAAATTAGCATGAACTTCCAGAAGCATTTCATTCTTTGTTTTCCTTTCAGCTTGAGTCTCTCTGGGCCAAAGTTGCGGTGAGGTTTGCCCTGCGGTTGTCCTCACATAGGCACAACATGTAAAAATGCCTTCCGTCACTCCAGCCTTACCTCTTCTGTCCAAAGGAAATCCAGGTTCTCTCCACGAGTGGGACTGAATTCACAGAAAGCTTAGAGAAACCATTCTATGGGCCAATCAATCTTCAGCCTCTGGCAGGACCCAGTCACTCCCGGAAAGAGAAACAAGCAGGGCCATTTTAGCCAGCGGCTTTGGTTTTCTTTGCGTCATCTCCTTCTGGTGTGGATGGATCAGGGTCATTCTGTTTAACAGTCAGGGCCGTCTGAACAGCATTATGGGCCCCGGGCAAAGCCGTGTGCTGGGGCCCCTGCGACAACTACAACTACTGTTAATTTTGGAAGTTTTCCCATTTTCCAAGGGTTAACATACACAGATTAGTGTGGGGCCCATGGACAAGTGCCCATCAGGCCCCTGCGTTCAGACGGCCCTGTTAATAGTCTTAAGAGGTTGATTAGAGCTTGAGACGGGACCACGGTTTATGGGCTGGAGTGGCTCTAGACCTGAAGCTAGGGGAGCATCAACTGAATCGCCAGTGCTCAGGGAACTGGGGAGGAAGCAGGAATTGCATCTCTCTGTGTTCAAAGCTGGGATAAGCAACAGTTCCTCCCATGAGTGTTTTTGTGGGACATGCTACTTGCTGCAGAAGCGTGTACACACAAGCACACGTGTGCACGCAAGACCATGATTTTCCAGTGAAACCAGACACATGGGCTTTGTATGCCTTGTCAGAAAGCAGAATCATGCTCCTGGAAGGCCTTGTTTTAAGGAGAAATCAGTGCCTTTTCCCACTGCTTTGTCTCCAGATTTTGGCACTGGGACTGCAGCAGAAAGCTTGCAGGATTCAGCTAATGTTCTGGCCATCCTCTTTGTAAAGTTCCTCAGAGCTTTGGGACCAGCTTGTGGAGCAGATGGGGTCAGAGTAGTGGCTGAAAAGGGGGGCTCAGATTAATTCCACACCATAGAAACCAATTTAGATCCCAGTTGAAAAGTTGAATTATTGTTTTTGCACAGACAAATTTTCTTTTGTAAAAATCTATATAACAAATATTTGATCTGTTACCAATTTTATTGTAGATTGATACATTTGTTGTGGCCAACAGCTAAGCAGCAAAGTGATAGCTAAATGATAAAATATACATCCTCCTTTTCTAGCAAATGAACGTTCATGTGGAAGATGTCCGGATACGGCCCATCCTTTCTGCCTCCCGCAAGCGGATTCCCATCACGGAGGGCTACGTGGAGTTGAAAGAAAGAGGCAGCTGGAAGCAAATCTGTGACAAAAACTGGAACATCAGGAATACTCGTGTGATCTGTGGCATGTTTGGGTTTCCAGCTGACAAGAAATACAATGTCAAAGTCTACAGGTAAGCAAAGGCTTTCAGAAGGATTTATTGTGTTCTTAAAACTCAAAGGTGGGTAAGGTTTTCTAAAGCACACATACACGGCTCTCTTTAGAATTGCTGGTTTCCAAACTGGAGTTGGAAAAATCCAGGCAAATAGATTCTGTGTTTTTGTTTCTTCCTTTAATTTCCTCCACCACTTTTAACCAGTAAGGCCCTCCGGCAACTGTAGAACAGCTTAAGTTGAGAAATAGTTTGCATTATTTTTCCCATCCAAAGACAGGGAGCAACTATGCCAGGAGACAGTCTGAAGGCATGTTGTTTGTGGAGTTTGTCCTTGTTCAATTGGCTCACATGATCCCAATTCTCAAAGCTCTTGTTTTCAGGATTCTGCCTGTGAGCTTTCATGGACTTCATTAGGGAGAAATTACCAAACGAACAAAAACAGGTTCATGGACTGAAATCATGTGAAGCCATATTGTAGTGCTCTTTGTTGACATCCAGAATGGCTATATAATATTGCAGCAAATAACAGCTTCCAGGTGTCCTGATGTTTTGTTCTGCACTAGAGGAAAAAAGATCATCTGTTTACACCAATGCTCTTTCCCACTCTGGGTCTCTGAAATATACCACTTACATCTCAGTCTGCCATACACTGCACATACACACCCAGAAACACACACAAGATTACTCAGAAGAAGGGCTGAGAGACTGCTCTGCATGAATGTCTTCTTTTCAACATGGCACTGATTCAGTTGACTTGGTGCTCTGCCAACATAAAGCTCAGCTTCTGCTCTTTAGCTAAAGCGATACCTTATGTCTTAACTCATGCCTGTAGCCAGTGTTGTACAGATGCTCAGCCTCGCCAGTGATGAAGGCTGGCATCCTGCAGTAGTCAATTGGATGCCTATCTGAAGTCCTCCCAGATAGGATGAGCTAGTTCCCACCTTTCCCACCCAGCACAGTCAATGGTCATGCTGGCCAGACACGGGGAGAGCTGCAGCCCAACACATTTTGGGAGCATCAGATTCTGGAAGGCAGTCAGTCCTTCCCTGCTCCACCTCAACAGCCATATCGACCAGTTTAAAGAAGGGAGAGATTCCTTGTGCATTGTCTGCATGCAAGACATCTGTTTCCATCCTTCTCTTATACTTCCTGATAGTTAGGACCCCTAGGATATGAAATGGGCTTCCAAGGAAGGTGGTTGAGGCCCCATCAGTGAGGGTGTTCAAGGAAAGATTGGACAACCACGTGAGTGGAGACAGCTGGAGCTGGGGGTCGGACTAGAGAGCCCAGGAGATCCCTTCTGACTGGCTTGGTTTCCGTGGTTCTCTTCATCTCTAAAGACTTTCCGGTAACATTAAAACAACTCATTAAAAAATGTCGGAATATCAGGATGTAAAGAAAATGGTTAAAACCACTTAAGATCTGGGGCAAAAGGTGAACAAACACAGAAAGGCAGCAAAAAGCAAACAGAGATCAGTCTGTGCAAAGAATGGATTCGAAGGAGAGGGCAACAGCCAGAATTGGCAAAAGGGCTGGAGGCCCGGCCAAGGATGCTGCTCCCACAGGGCCTGGCTGTTCCTCCTCTTCATGCTTGCCACCTGACCCAGGCAGAGGCAGTGGTGAGGAGGAGGAGCAGGGGACACCGCAGCCTCCCTGCTGCCTGGCTTTCCACTTGCCAAGCAAACAAGGGCAGCCATGAGGAGAAAGCAGATGAGGAGCGAGAGCAGCTGGTGGCCACACGGATGGCAGGGAAAGACTTCCTGAAGGAAGGGTTTCCTGGAAAGTGTCTTGCTCTAGGGCCACAGTGACACTACCCACTGAGAAAGGCTTGTCCATGTGTCACTGTCTGCCATACCGCCAATGACTTGAGGACTCCAAAAAGGGTCTCCAAAGAGGCCAGTTTGGCTGGAAACAAGCAGAACCTGAAGTTCCAGCCTGATGACTCCATGTTCCTCAGAACATATGGGGAAGCCATTTGGTCCCCTGTTCCCAATTTTGCGTTCTGACTTCCCAAGGAAGAGTGCTGGGTGCAAGCTGACCGTCTGGCTCATGCAGGGCAACAGGAGCAGGCCTGGCCCATTCCTCATGTCAGATTTACTGTGTGCTCTGGAACATGGCCAGTATCTTCTGCAGAATGCAGCTATCCTGGCGCTTGTCTTGGCAAATGTGGAAAAGGCCTGAGCAAAAGCTCCCTGGTTTCTCCATGTGTTCCTTAATGCACTCACTGCCTTAAAGGGAAAGCAACGCTTCTGGTCACTTGGATCCTGCCTTTTCGACACGTGAGCCCACAGCTTGTTAGCATGCTTCTCATTTCTCAGTGTCTTTCCACATAGTGTCGTAATAAACAGCCTTGTCCCAAGGGTGAGGTCTTCCAATTCACATGTGGTTCCGCAGCTGGAAACCCAGTTCCCAGAGTGGGTCTCTGTTCCAACGAGCTGACTCAGTCCTTCTGTGGGAAGGAGATTAAAAGGAGCCCTCCCCTGAGATCCCCCCCCCCCCCACAGCTCTTTTGCCCAGGGAACCCAGCAATTGCATTTGCAAACCCAGCCACAACTGGGCAGTCCACGTGAGGCAGCACCCTTTGTGCTGGTGGGAGGCGTAATGCTTCACAGATGGCTTTTTTGCTGAAGGAAACAGCCTCGTTCATCGCCCCTTTTGCTGCCAGACTCTCGCCTTGGAATGTCATTTAGTTTCTGCTCTAACAGTGCAGTTTATATTAAAGGAAAGGCAAACTTCGCGACCTGGGGGAGCTTCCTTGCTGATTGCATTTTCCTTGGCACGCTTTGTCAAGCCTTCTGCTAATTTGTTCCGGTGTCGCATGCAGCTGGGAGCGCTGCGAGGGGAGCATGAAGGCAATGGTCCATGAGTTGGACTACAGTGCCCATCACCTCTAGCCTAACTGGAGGCCCACTGAGGCCGGCGTCCTGCTTCACACACTAGTCTACCAGATGTTTGAGGGAGCGGGCAAGTAGGGCATGAAGACGAGAGCCCCTCCAGATGTGCTGACTGCAGCAGCAGCTGGGCCATTTCTCATGCTGGCTGGGGATGATTTTAGTCGTGGTTCAGCACATCTGGAAACACCAGGTTGCTCTTACGTGCTCTCAAGACACCTCTGACCCATTAGATGACTGCCCCCCCCCCCATGAAGGTCCTTGACGGACGTGTTTGGCACCAAAGCCTTGAAAGGATGTGTTCCAAGATGGCAGGTCATGTTGCTATACTCAAAAGGGATCCTATACTGACGCATAGGTATGTGAAGGGGTGTCACACAGAAGAGGGTCATGACCTGATCTTCCCCAAAGTGGAGGTCCGGATGTGATCCAGTGGGGCAAAGCTCAAGGAACTGGTTTCAGGTCGGATGCCAGGAAGTACTTCCTGATGGTTAGGACCCCTAGGATCTGGACTGGGCTTCCACAGGAGGTGGTGGAGGCCCCATCAGTGAGGGTGTTCAAGGAAAGATTGGACAAGCACTTGTTGGGTATTATATGAGCAGGGCCGGCTGGAGGTGGGGTCAGACTAGATGGCCCGGGGGACCACTCGCTGTGTTTCTATGTTTTTGTCATCAGGAGAAAAAAGGGGGCTTCCCATTCCCCATAACAGGCTGCAGCCACGTACGCAGAGGAGTGTTTGTGCTGTGTCCTGGCTGGCGTGTCAGTCCAAGGGCTGGGGAGACGCACATTCAAATCCTCGCTTAGCCATGACAGCCGCTGGGGATTTGGAGCCTGGCACCCTCTCTCACCTAAGCCTGCTCTGCAGGGCTGCTGGGAAGATAGGATGGGGGTGGTGTGGGGAAGAGCATTCAGTCCGTGCTGCGGAAGAATGGGATATAAGTGTAATAAATAAATAAATGCATGTTAGCAACGGGGGCACATCAAGGAGTAGAAATATGAGTTAATATTCACTTGTGCCAACATGTGTGTCTTACCTTTCTGATTAAATCCCCACGTATCTGAACAGCTGTCCTTTCTGGGCATGCAGCTCATTTACGAGGGAACTGCACCAGCTCTCCCTCCGCTACCAGGCAAGGTTTAAGGCTTACCAAAAGAACTCCTTAGAACCCCCCTGACAGTCTCAATTTCCTTCTTTTTCTTCAAGGATGGTGGCAAACAGAAGGAAGCACAGGTATTGGGCCTACTCCATGGACTGCACGGGCACAGAGGCACACATCGCCAGCTGCAAACTGGGCGGTCGCATCAGCAAAGCTCGGGGAAACATCACATGTGAGAACGGGATGCCAGTCGTGGTGAGCTGCACCCCCGGACGTGCCTTCGCCCCCAGCAGCCACAGCGGCTTCCAAAAGGCTTTCCGGGCGGAGGTAAGAGAAAGGACCCCATTTGTTCTTTGTGGAGGGAGTGGGATTTCTGAGAAGCTGATAACAAGTTGTGGATCTTTACACACTCTGCTGGCTCTCAAAGAATGGTCAGCACATGGGCAGGGTCTCACATTCCCACATTCGGTGTCTGACCTCATTCTCTTAAGCCATCCTCATGGCATTAAGTTGGAGGCAGTGGCTCCAAGATCTGCAGGGCTCTCATTCGTTCATTACATCTCTATCCCACCTTTCCTCCAAGGACATCAGAGTGCCTTCCCCACCCCGCCTGTCTTCTCCTCTTCCTGTCCTGCTTCTTGTGGGTTGCACAGTTGTGCATGCAGAGGGGGCATCCACGCATAGGCTCATCTTTCCCCTTACCGCCAACAAAGTCACAATTTGTAAACCTGCAAAACTGCTCTGAGAACTGGGGGCCAAGTGGTGCTGGTGTCCTTACAGGCACTAAACAGTAAGAGACCGACCAGAGTAGGGCTTCCCCAGAAGCAGAGCAAACCACGCTGCATGCAAAACCAACCCGCTGGCCCTCATTTTCCAGAGTTGGTTTGCCCAGCACATAAACCGATGAGCATGTTTGGAGGTCGGCAGAAGATGTTTTTCAGCCCCCCTTCCCCCCCCCCCCACTCTTAAAATCTGCCTTCAACTTCAGTAGCATAGCCCAGATTGTTTTCTGGAACAACATTAGCATTCTTAATCCTCCAGTGCCTCATTTATATAGCTCTCCTCCTGTTTTGACTCAGAACGTCTTTTGGCTAAGGACAGTGTGGCTCCTTTATTGCTGGAAATGGTGAGGCTCTTGGCAAAAGATTTGCCACATTCCTGTTCTAAATTGTTAGTTCAAACCAGTTGACTGCTTATCTGGCTGGACTCGCTGCTCAGTATTTCTTTCAGACTGTTGATTATTCTTATTATGTAAATGTTAAATGGGGACACTTGTGCATCAGAATCCCTGTGCTTTACATAACAGTGGCTTGTAACTGATAAACTGTTCATGAGAACATCCAGTACAAGCAAGGGCTTTTGTTGTTTTTAATTTAGAGGAGAACTTGATGCTGGTAAAAACAGCCAAACTAGCACCATTCCTGGGGAATTCAGGCCTGCATTCTTGCTTAAAATGCTGCAAGCCTGACTGCTTATGTTAGCACAGAGATGCAAATCCTCACACAGGGAATGCAAGTATCGTGTAAGTTACAGCCAGATGGACGTAGCTGGGTCCATGAACTTGCTGCAGGACCACACAGCCCCTTCGGAGAGCAGTGCGAACTTCCCAGCTGCACTGAAATCAGAAGCGATCAGCCAGCGCCATTTCAGGGAGGAGATGGCTGTGCAGGGCACTGGTTGGCTGGCCTTGGTTGCAGCACTATCTCTGTCCTGCCTCCACAACTGGCTGTGCAGAGTGCTGATTGGTTGCCCCTTTGGCCAATTATAAAGAGGCTTCCCTCACCTTGCCCTGACCCATCCTCTCACCTTTGAAGAGAACACTGTTTTCAGTTGCAATCTGTAAACTAAAATGCGCTGAATGGTGTTTAAGGTGCTTTAGGGCCGGGGGAAGAGGTGCCTCTAGGCGGGATTGATTGACTGATTGGTTCTACTGATGCTGCAGAATCAGAAGACAGCTCTACTGTCGGAGTGCCTGCTCCGACAATCGGCGCGAGAGAGTTCAGAGAGAGAAATAAAACACTGCAGACGAGAGATAAAATTTCAAAGCATGCTCGGTTGAGTACTCCGGAGAACAAAGAAGTTCTTCTTTAGGAATTCTTCCTAAAATGTCCTCTTAAAGATGTCCTCCTAAAGATGTCCTCCTTCCTCACCACCGGCAGCCCCTTTTTATTAATTCACAGATTGTTACATTTGTATTTGCCTACACCAATCGCCATTGAGTTAATCAGCCAACTCCCTAATCATTGTGCGCAAGCGTAGGATTCAAAATGCTTACTGATTGCTTATGCGCAGGCGCAGGAAACAGGAAGCGTACTTATTGCTATATATGGTCACAAGCCTTATATGGTTACACAGGTGAAGTACAATGCTATTGGCTGGGTAAGTTGCAATACTATTGGCTGGTAAATTACAATACTATTGGCTGAGCGTAACGTGCCTAGCTACAGCATGAATGTGGCGAGGCAGGGATGAATTCCCACACTCTACCCACGCAGCAGCTTTGAGGGCAAAAGTGGGCAACCCAGTCTCAGTTTGGTCCACCATCCACTGATGGACCATGAAGAACATTAAGCAAGCAAACATTCCAGTTAGGGGAATTTCTGCATAGTCAGAAGCAAGGTTGGCTCCAGAATGCACCACACAATGATCCTGAAATTAGCAGGATCAATCTTCCTGCCCTCCTCCTCCTCCTCTTCGGAACTAAATCACAAACCAAGCCAGATGGGGTGGAGTTGCTGGGACAGCCAGTTACTGTGCAAATCATCAAGGGAGTGCATTTATTCCAGTACCAGGAATTGTTGGATGTGTGATATTTTAATGGACATGTGTTTTTCTCCCTCTAACCTTATGGGAAAGTATGTGCATCATGTCCTTGGATGATGGATCATCTGTCAGTCTGTTCAAAATATTTCCTACGGCTCATGTGAATAGTTGATCTTCTTGCTGGGATTTGGGGCCCTCTCAAAGTCTTAATAAGTGATAGTCTGCAGTGGACATGGGCAGGTCTCTTTTTAATTCCTATTTATGCAAAGTATATGAGACATTTATACATGATACAAAATTATATACTAAATAAATCTGGACCTTGTGCCAAGTAAATCTAAACTGTGCAATCCTGCCCCCACCCCCAAATGTAGAAAGTTTGCCTATTGGGGCTTCTGCTGCATAGAACTTTATTCTCCAGACATTTTAATAATTTTAGTCTGTATAATTTTAAAGGTGTTCCGTTTTTATATAGCCCTACTGTTTAAATTTATCCTATTTTAATCTCTCATCTCTAACTCTCCACTGTATCGTATTGTTTATTGCTACGTGCTCCTTCGTATCTTCATTTTGCTGTTTATTATTCGCTTACTACATAGTGTTTTTATTTCAGTTCCCCTTGTTATGTATTGTTGTAAAGCACTTAGAGGGTCCAGTAGGACTAGTGATGAGAAATATAGATTTGGTAGATACAGTGGTACCTTGGCTCACCAACGCCTCAGTTCACAACCAAATCAGGTCGCAGACAGAAATTTCAGAAAAATTGTGCCTCAGTTCACGCACTCTGCATTGGGTGGCGACCGCCATCGCGGCCATGTTGCCACACGAATACGATCGCAATCGTGGCCGCGATCGCGCCCGTCTCTCCCCGCTCCCCAAGGCTAGTGTTCTCTACTGTGCTGTACTTTGTTACTTTGTTTCAGATTTTTGTAATTAAAAAAATATTTACAGAATGGATTAACCTTATTTACATTGACCCTTATGGGGAAATTTGATTTGGCTCGCGACCAGTTTGGGTTGCCGTCCAAACGGGTGTGGAAGGCGCAAGGTTGGGAAGGCTGCCCGATCTCATGGAGAGCCCCGCTGGATCAAGCCCCGCCTGGCCCAGCATTCGGCAGCCTCAGTGGCCAGCCAGATGTTCATGGCAGCTGTTCCAACCAGGTGCCTTCCAGATGTGTTGCAAATATAATTCCAACACATGCGATGGAAAGTCCAGTAGTCCCCTCTCCATCTTATTCCCCTGCAACTGGGACTGCGAGGCACATTTCCTTTCATGATGGAGGGGCCACTGGTCGCCCTGTCTACCCTGACTCATAAATCAGTGGCCATGGATACTGGTGTCCTCCATGAATTTAATGAATCCCCTTTTAAAGCTGCCCAAATTGGCAGCCTTCCCTCTATCTCGCAATCGCAAATTCCATATTTACCTGCTTGGTGAAGAAGTGCTTCCTTTGGGCTCTCCTGAATCACCATTCAGTCTTATGGGATGATCTGCAGGTTTCAACATGCAGAACTATTCCCCGCCCCCTGCATAATTGTATAACATCTTCTGGAACTCCTCGTAGTTCCTTGATCATTTGATTTCTACACTTTTCCCAGCTCTACAGAATCCTTTTGGAGCAGCCCAAGCAATAAGTGTTTCCCCACCTGGTGGGTCTTCCTCTTTCAGCACCCCCTGGTGAGGCTCAAGGGTGGAGCCAAGACTGGAGAAGGTCGCGTCGAAGTCCTGATGAATGGGGAGTGGGGAACGGTTTGCGACGACCAGTGGAGCCTTGCTGCAGCCAGCGTGGTCTGCCGAGAGCTGGGCTTTGGGTCCGCTAAGGAGGCGATCACAGGAGCTCGGCTTGGGCAAGGTAAGCATGCAATGCTGAATGGAATTGAATTGAACTGAATGCTTAAAATAATGGAATTGCTGTTGAAGAGGCTCAGAGGGGAGCATGAGATCAGAGCACACCTGCTGTGCAGAAGGTCCTTCGTTCCATCCCAGGCAATGCCAGCTGGGCCTGTTGGATAAAAGACTCAGGTTTCCCCTGAAGGGCAAGTTGAAATTCTTGAGAACCTAGGAAACTGCTGCCAAAAGGGACCAAGGGCAGGAGGACTGGCTGGACCAAGGAATGGAGTCCCAGCTTAGGAGCAGAGCACGGGCTTTGCATGCCCTCTCCCGTTAAAGGGACCAGACTGCCCTGCCAGTCAGTGTAGGCAACAGTGGGTTGGCTAGGCAGCCCCTGCAGCAGTTTTGTTCGTCGTGTCCAGCAGTACTGTGGCCCGTGCGCCCAGCTACTTCCAGTGACCTCGACTTCGTCAGAGAACCTTGACGGAAGATGACACCAGGTGCTTACTCACAGGGTCCCCATCTGTAAAGGCTGGAGCATCCGGCTTCAGGGACAGAAGTGGGGCTGGGTGCCAGAAAGACCTGGGACTCAGGCCCACAGGGCAAAAGAAATGCACACCTTTGCACAAGCTATTTTGCATGTGGCTGTATCTTTACAGGGCCCTGTCTGGACCCTTTAAAGGACAGGGAGGAAGAGGGTCTTTGAAGCCCCTCAGGCAGAAAGATTCATGGGGGCAGCGGGAGGGGCTGCATGTGTGGGCAAAAAGGCAGCTGATCCTGGGGGCTCGGAGGCAGCAGGGACCACCGGCGTCCCTGAGCCTTTATTTCTGAAAGTGCCCAGGGACAGAAGAGTGCTCGTGCAGGTGGCCTCGCAGACGTTCGGGGCTGCAAATGAAAAATTTAGGACTCCACCTCCAAACACCACCTGTCGGGAGGTGGGCAGCTTTTGCCCTCCCAAAACATGAAATGAAGCCATCTGTTTTCCCCCAGGGGTGTAAGTGGAAGCGTTTCACTGATAACAGGTAAAGGGAAAGGGTGCATTTGTGGTCAGCTCCTGCACCCCGCCCTTACAGCTGATTTACTTCGTTCTGTAGAATGCAACAGGGAGATCTGTTAAGACCTGAGATGACCCCTAATTATGCAACCCTAACCCTTTGTTTGCCACAACCGTGGGTTCCATGCCTTGGACATGCTCTTAACCCCCCACCCCCAGATATCTTGGGCGAGGGCTAGCAGAATTCCTGAGCTGAAGTCCCAGCCATCCCAGGGACACCAGGAAAGGAAATGCAGGGGTCTGATGGAAATGGTCTTAGAGAGAGAGCAAGAGACGAGAACTTTGCAAAACACAAATCTCCTTCTTGGTCTAGGTTTCCTAAATCTGACATTGCTGATAACTGAGATATTCTTTTGAGTTGGCAGCTCTTCCTCCCCAAACCTTAAAATTATTCCTGAGGCTTTTATTTCCACACCCCGCAGCAAGCGAGGGGAAATCCATAACCAAACCAAAAACCACACCATAAAACAAATGAAAAGGTGAAACGTATCCAGACCTGTGTGGGTTGGGCGAAGGAAAAGGAAAATGAGTTACAAGTAGGAGACGTGCTGCAACTCTCTGGAATCCTAAAAATGCCAGCTTGCCAGCCAAACGGCACGGAGATGATGTGTATTTAATTGCGGTTATGGCTACGGAAGGGCCGGTGTCACATGAACGTTTTGCCTGCAACGTGATGAGCTCGTGCGTGCGCCCTGAAGCCACATTGCCCAGCTAGAGGCTGGAAACTTCAAGCAGCTGCTTCAGAGCTTGCAGTTTTCTTTCCTGAAAATAAAGCAATGCTGGGGAAAGCATTTCCAGCTAAAAGCAACGTGCCGAAGCTGATCGTTCTCCCAGGGCCCCGTGCACTGCACGATGTGACTTCCAGAGGGACTTGGGAATGGGTGTTTCCATGCAGTGGATATGGAAAGGGTTCTTGCTAAGGTGGGTTAAGGGTCACGGTGGACAGAATGGAGGTCAGGAGCAGTCTCACCCGTTGCAGGAGAAGTGGCAGCAGGTTCTGATTCCCAGGCATTTGACGGGAGCTACAACAGAGTGATCTTCTTCCTCCTAAATTAGGCTGCCGAAGTGAAGAGGCTGGGCTTTGCTGTGGAAGGACTGTGAGCTCGGCTCAGTTTTGGTATGGGAAGCCCGTTGCTTGTGTCCAAGAGCCTAACTGGCTGCACTAACCACAGAGAAGTCTCCGCTAGCCTCACCTTCACAGTGCGTCACAGTTTTCGTCTCTAAAGCCAAAGTGATCCGTTTCAGCACCCCTGTTTCCCACAGTGGCCTGGCCCTTTCTGTCCATGGCTCTCTCCTGCAGCTGCTCCGGGACAAGTGCTATGCAGAGGTCCCCAAACCTGGGGACCCCGCAGCACCACTGTGGCTTCTTATTCTTCTTATTCTTATTAATACATTTCTGTGCCACCCATAGCCAAAGCTCTCTGGGTGGTTCACAGCATTCAAGTCACCCATCCAGATTTAAACCTGGCCTGACCCTGCTTAGCTTCCAGGATCAGGCAGGATCAGGCACTTATATGGAAGCTTCTTTTCCAGAACATAGAGAGCCACCTTAGGCTGCAGCAGGTTGTTTGTTAAGAGAGTCCAGAATCGTCTCCTCTGCCCATCAGGTTCTCCTGTGCTCCTAGCAGGTCTCTGTTCCTCAGCTCGCCCTGAGATAATGGGTATTGAGGCTGTGATATTTTGCAAGAAAAGCACCTCTGAGCTCTAAAAGGGAGATCTTAGGAGGTGTGAAGGGCTCGCAGCTATGCAAAACACATGCATTTAGAGTGGGGAAGCGCCTGTGGGAGGAGGAAAAGAAAGCAACAACCCAACAAGAACCAGGAATGCTCAGTGGAAGGCATGGAAAACCGGGTGGGAGGATGGAGACGAATGGAATAAAGTGTCCTGGAAAAAGTCTCCGCTGGTCGGCTGGAGCCTCAAAAGGAAGCGCTCCCCACGCCAAGGTTTTTGCACTTAAATTTATTGTAATAGAACCTTGAGAGGGAAGAAGGAACAGGGGCCAGGATGGGGGCCATTGCAAGATGCTATGCCGCCTGTACACAGAGATGATTAGCAGATTGTTAGCTGTTTAATGAACCAGCTTCCACGAATGCACTGCTTTCCATCCTTTAAAAGGGGGAATTAAACACAGATAGGGATTGGCCCTGAGAAAAGATCAGGTTGTACAAGCTGTCTTTCAGTGTAGATTTGTCATTAGGTCAAAACAGTGAACTTGAATATCTTGATTGTCGATGACGAGCTGTGCATCCATAGGCACTAACGGTGCAACCTTGTGTATGTTTGGGCAGGAAAAAGGCCTGCAACTCTGAGCATGCGCTCCAGCCAACATTGTAGGCTGGACCATTCCAGGAATTGTAGACCTTTATTCTGTCTGAGCATATGAAATATTGTGCCCAAACCTTTCATCTTCTTTATACCCACCTGAATGCAGTGGAATTTACATCAGAGCAAACATGTATCAGACCACATTGTATCTGATGGGGAAGGGAATTTAATAAACCACCAACTTTGGTTAATTAGATCACTGTTTTCTTGAATTAAAATTAGAAACACATTTCATTGTACATGAAAAACAAAACAAAATCATTTTGTAGTTCTAGAATTGCATACAACCCTTTGTATATTTATTTAATTTTATTAACTTTCTGCCAAATGCACCCAAGGCAGTGGCACTGTATTGTTGGGGAAGCCAGAACAATTCTGGAATCCTCAACTAATCCACCCTCTATTTAAGATTATTTGTCATCCATTCCTTCATGTTCTCCTGGAAAAAATACCTCTCTATTCCCACTGAAATGTCACAACGTGATCAACTGCAGGTTCCCATGGGATAAAAATTGCCAAAAATGTTGTTTAATATACAGTTTGCTTCCAGTTCTTCAGCTGAAGTGAGTAAATTATGGAGAAGTGGAAAGTTGGCCTCTCCTTTGTTTTTGGCATCTTTATGAAAGAAAAATAATGTGCTGGAAATAATTTCTCAAGCCATTGAAAAAACAAGTTGCATAAAAGAGCTTTGCAGTAATCTTGCATCTACTGATACTGGAGGGCTGATGTCTGGGGTACTTGGATCAAGAGATCTGGGATTTGATATGTCCAGAGTTATGAAGTACAATATTTGAAATATGAAATGTCTTCATCTTATGTACTATGGAAAGATGAGAATATGGGTTTCTCTCCCTTGAAGGTATTGGCCCCATTCATCTCAATGAAATAGATTGCACGGGTTCTGAAAAGTCCATCACAGACTGTAAGTTCAACACTCAGATAAGGAGCTGTACCCATGAGCAAGATGCCTGCGTCAGGTGCAATATTCCAGCTATGGGTTTCCAAAACCAGGTGAGCTGCTGATGTATCTTGCTAGTAATGGAAGGATAATTCTGCTTCTTTTTCAAACATTTTTTGTTACCCATGCACCCTCAAATCTCCTAAATGGTGAGAAATTTCAGAGAGGCCAGTTCTTACCCAACTACAGAGTTTGCGTTAGATTGAAGTCACTGGAGGCCATGAAGTTTTGTGCTATTTGTGTTTTATGTACGAATGAACAGGTTCAGCAGGGTGAAGGTTCTCAGCTGAACGCTGCAAAATTTACTGCTCCTCCATCAGATTTCAGAACCTCCCCAAATTTGGCTCTTTCTTGGACTGATTGCATGTGAGTCCAGATGAAGATTTTGTTGCGCATCTGCCCTGCCTAATTTTAATCAGGGAAGGTCATAATCTTGCAGGCCTTGTTCTGCCAACAGCCCCTGAAAACTATATCGATCCATTCAAAATGCATTGATTCGTTTTGTTCCAATCTAGCAGACTTACTGGGAGGCCTCTCACTCGTGTTTTTGTGGATGTGTTGTTCTATCTGCATTGGAGGGATGGTCGTGGCAAAGAGCGAGGAAAAGCCTTGTGAGCCACTCCAGTGCAAGGCAAGCGAAGGACAGACACATGCCCACAGTGCAGCACGTTTGCAGACAGGCAATGGTTCATGTTTGGGTGAGGCCGTGTGGTTTTGTCCATGCAGTATGTGGGTGGGCAACCTCCAGTTGGCAGGGGTTGCCCAACTGGTGCATGGAGGCTTGGGCACATCCATGGGTCCGTCTCCCAGCCCTTGTCCCTGGCCTGGAGGCTACCAGGGACTTTGGAAGGAGGCAGATCTCTACTCATGAAATCTCTAATATCAGGCAGGGCAAGGCCGTTTTCTCCTGCGCGCTGTTCAATCTCCAGGATGCCGTGCAGGGGATCCATTGGTTATCTCCAGTCACAGACCGGAGATAACAAGGGGACTGGGAGGGCAGCAGCAAGGCACTCACAATGCAAAATTGCTTGTGCTTCGCAAGCAGCAGCCGAGTGACCACACCTGTCCTTTGCCCTCCTCCGGTGGGAGAAGCCCTCCGTGCAGCGAAGCTAATTCCTGGCAGAGGCACCACGAGGTTCATCCTCCCATCCTCCACTTAGCCCCCCTCTTTGATACCATCCAAACTGCAGAGGCCTGGGCAGGGTCATCTCACCCTGTGGGGGCTGTCCACCCACGTTGGGGTACCGTTGCTACCCTGCAAAAGAAACCAGAGCAAGGGTTCCGTCACAGAGGCAGTCGATTCTCTGCACTGAACTGGAGCTGACAGCTGGTTCCTGAACTGAAAAACGCTGCATTGGAGACAATTTGTCAGTTCTGTCTGGTGTTTCATCCGTGAGGGATCGCTCATGGATGCAAACCACCCTTTGGTTGTGCATTCATCAATTCCACCACTCGGTTTGGCTCTGCAGAACTGTCATAGCATAACGGTAACCCTTTGGCTCAGCCTGTCCATGTTGACCTTCAGCCCACACGGGAGATGCAAACTTCAGCACATTGCAAATGTTCTAAAAGCACATGTGCCAGTGAGCATGGAAAGCTCATTGTACAGGCTATTCAGATACCTAGCATGACCCTAAAAGGTCACGTGAACCAGACTTTGTGCTACTTCTTAACGTACTTATGGAATATGTGTTGTGAGAGGGAGGAGCTTTGCTTTTCTGCCTTTGGACTGAGGTCACATCAAATGCTGGCTCAGAAGCTTTGTTGGCCGGCAGTCCATTGAACTTCTGAGATGTGTTTCCCAGTCGTTTGGCCGGAATCCACTTGTTCCATTCATTTTAACATCTGTGTTCTTTTAGACCCAGAGAGCACAACGTATTTTGAGAGGCATCTGAGCCATTCTGCAAGGTTTATGCTTTATAATCACCACTAAGATTCCAACGGATGGTTGGAATCATTAAAACTCTCAATTTCTCTTTCCTGTGCAACAGGAAATTACACGTAAACATTTGTGGCTAGGTATGCCATACCTGATGCAAGGGACGCTGTTTTTGGGTATGGCTCATACAGCTTTATTGGAATCCTCAGCCAGAAGGCATCTGTAGCTTCTGTAAATTAAAGGAATTTTCTTAAAAATGAGGCTGATGCACTGGGCAAAAGGGCACGTACAGAGATCAATCCAGCTGTAGTCTGCCAACGGTCTCCCAAGGTCACAAAATGGCAGTCAAGTCCCCATGTGGTGGCCATGTCCACACAGGCGCTGGTAAATCAGCCTCCAAGGAATATGCAGCTACATCCAAAGTGGGGAGCAAGGGCAAATTTCAGAAGCTGCCCATTTTGCAAGAAAAACAGCTTGGAATGGCACAGGAAAGAGAAGTAAAATGTCTGGTAGCACCTATCATCTAAGCACAGACCTGACTGAGAAAGCATAAGGGCCTATTGCAAAATATTCTTAGCCACAAAGCTTGGAGGAAGCGAAGGGGCCACTGCGTCCACTGAATTCGTCAAAGCAAGATCCTCCCTGGAGCAGTTTCGACCCACAGGGTCCATACCAGAAAGCCAAAAGGTATGCAGCTCCAGGGAGCCATTAAGCTGAATCCAGCTGTCAGTCAGAATTCGGTCGGTGTGGCCCACCACAATCTCACTTAACTACAGTGACTTCCGAAATAACTCGCTGTCTGAACATAAAGGGCATCCTGCGTCCTTGCTCATGGCACGAGGTTGGCTTGTTGGAACATCACCAACATCATTTCTCTCTTGCTTCTGCTTTCTCGTCTGCAGGTGCGACTGAGTGGGGGACGCACACCCTATGAAGGGCGGGTGGAAATCCTTCGGGAGCAGAACGGCTCTCTTGTGTGGGGGACAATCTGCAGTGAAAGGTGGACCATAATCGAAGCCATGGTGATATGCCGCCAGCTGGGCCTCGGGTACGCGGACCACGCTTTCCAGGTACGTGCAGGCATCTTGCTGCTTTTCCTGTGGATCAGTCCAAGCAGTGTGACTTAGACTCTGGGGAAATTAGAAATCCATATCCAGAGAAGGACATTTATGAAATTTTATTTTGTTTGGGAGCTATTTTATTCTATATTTTATTGTATGTATCGCTGTTGTTCATCACCCAGAGAGTTCTGGATATTGGGCAAGAGAGAAATTAAATAAATACATAAATACACGTTTCATCCCACTCTTAAACCCCCATGCAAAGCATTCATTTTCTGTTCAAGCCTATCATCCGCATCTACTTTTCCCTAAGTTGGCCACACTGGTATCCAGATTAGTCTGATCTGTGTTTTTCCCTTGATCTGTGCCCTTACGTGTCTTCAAAGCACCTCTGTGTAACATATTTGCTTTAAACAACTGTAAGCATGTCATTGTTTCTGTATGGACTAAGCTATATTATCTGCAATATCCATGGGAAATTCTTAACAGAATTAAGCCAAGAGAAAGAAACTGGACAGTATAATAGTTTTGCACCAGCCTGTGAGGTCCAATATAGAAATGAAGGACCCCAGGAGGATACTTACAAAATAGCGCTTTCAGCCAAGCATGGGAAGGAGACCACCCATATTTTCATGACTGCGTACTTAGGCGGAGAAGGGTTGCAAGCCAGCTTTGCAGGGCATGCCATGGATTTGTTAAGACAATAGTTCTCCTTGCTCGGCAGCATCGTCAAGGGTCCCTTCCCCACTGGGCACTGAGCTTCAGTTTACCTGTCATCCACCTTGCTGTATTTTAAATCTTATCGCTTAATCCCATTTCTATCCCCACCCTTCCTCCCAGGAGCTCATGGGTGGCTTAGGTAGGAATGGGTCCATTTTAAGTACAGCCCTCACCCCCTCTTCAAAACCCAAGTCCTGGTTTGGGGGCAACTGTGCAGCTGCTTGCTCGGCAAGGTATTTTGGGACTCTGTGGAAAGGTCTATTTCCAGGGTCTTTGAAGACAGGCAATTTAGAAGGCTCGGCATTCACAGCTCTTCCTTTTATGGATGTGGGACTCAAGGAAGCATTTTAAGGATGCCTATTTTGAGCGTCAGGTTGCAGTTTGGAGGTTGCACAAACCATGTGGTGACTTCCCCAATCCTGACTTCTGATTCTTCTGGGCCTCCTAAGAGGAAACTCACATTTTCCCTCTCCAGAGGACAGTTGCCTGCTTGATCTACTTTAGCTTCTTTACTTTCGTGGAACCATCTAAGTAAGCAGAACCTAACTGCTTATACAGTACCACCCGGTTCCTTCTGGGTCATGGAGGAAGGAGAAACATTTCTTCCTGATCGTTCTTTCCAGAATGTTCTCCTGGAAAACATAAAATTCTTGAGACTTGTAACACCTTAAATGGGCAAGAATATCCGCAAGGTGAGACGTTCTTGAGCTCTGATTCAGGAGTCATTGGCGGTTCTCACTCGGTCTGGAGGATGGCTGCAGAAGGGCCAAGAAGAGCCACATGTGATCTTGCACTTAGCTTCTTAATGGCAATTACGGCTGGCTTTGTCCAGGACAAGATTATCACTCCCACATGACCCTGGCCAAGGCCCATACTAGACTGCGCCAATGCCATCTTACTCTTTCCCTTCACATTTATTAGTCATTTATTTTTAAAAATTATATGTGGAGCCTGAAATGCATCCCTGCTCCACAGCCTGGTTCGGGTCTGGGATTTCCATAAGATGGCACTGGTGACATCAGCAATGAGGGGGGCAGAATTAAAATATGACTTACATAAGTGCTTTGATTCACAGATTGATGCCCCCAGCAATTTTGAAGTGGTGCCTGGGGAAAAAAATTAAAAACTTCTGATCTAGGCAATACCCAGACTTCCAGGTCTTCCTCAGAACTCCTTCCCTGGCCCAAAACAGTCATTAGTTTAAATAGGCGTAAATAGTTATTACTTTTAATGGGTGTTTAGCAGCTTTTATTTTTTTGCTTCCTTTTTTACTCTTGAGTAGGCACAGGAGCCCCAGTCCAAAGCATACCTTCAGACTTGTCAGGTGGGGAGGGGGGTTGGAAACCAGCACGCCCAGACCTTGACATGAGGAAAGCTGGGGGGGGGGGGGGGTTATCTTAAGGCCAACCTCTTCAGGGGCTCAGGCAGAGTCTGAGAATAGCCAGGACATACAAGTGCCAGGAGGAGCTCCGGGAGCCAGCCAAGCCTGGTATGACTCTTGATCCCATGATGCAGCATCAGGAGAGAAGGGCTAACCAACCAGAGGGACAGCATACACTGAAGTGGCTTGGCCACCTCCAAACAGACCCTCCCAGAGGGAAGGGGCTCAAGGGTACTCAAAAGGAAGGTTCTTGAAAGCGGTTGGTAGATTGGGTTCAACAAACTACTCTGTGCATGCTCAGAGACTCATTCTATGCTTACTGGATGTACTTTGGAGAATAAATAGCTTTTGCAAAGGAACAATCTGTTGCTTTGAATGTGCAAAGGAGGAGACCTAGCTCCTGAGAGGTTTGTTGTTGCATTGTGAACTGTGGGTTGTTCGTGGTTTAAACCAGGGGTCTCAAACTCGCGGCCTGCAGGCCAGTTGCCAGGATGGGCAGGGCATGGGGGAGGGGCCCTGCAGCCTTCAAAGTGCCGATGGCACCCGGGCCGGCCTCCGGATGAGCGGCCCACCACCACCGCGGTGGTGGAATACTTGATGCGGCCCAGGCTCACCCAGACTCTACTTCCAGCGGCCCCCAAGGTAAGTTGAGTTTGAGACCCCTGGTTTAAACAAACCATGGGTTGTTAGTGCAGCTGGGTTCAGACTGTTCAATAACCCATGGTTCAACAGCGACCCACAGTTCAATGACAGCTCGAATCACCCTGTCCTCAGCCCTTGAATGTGGGTTATTGTGTCTGAACCAAGGCCATGATGAGTTGCAAACAGCTGCCGCTACTCCTGGATGTTTCCCCGGGAAAAAAAGGTTGCTGCAATAAGCTGATCCAGACTAGAGCTGATGGAGGGGTGTTCCTGCTGCAGTCCACTGCTTGCTCACCATAGAACACAGAAAAGCCAGTGCTTGCAGATCTGGTTTATTTTCTTGTGCAGCTGCCAATTCCTAGTTCAAGAGCCGAGGGTAACTGCATCCTTTCCGATCTCTCATCTGTGTTGACCTAAGCAGGGCTGATGCTGTTTGATGTCAGGCATGTTCCTGCAACTGGGCCCACCAAAATCTGTAATAAAAAGGGCCCTTGTGTTTGCTCCAGGCTGTGCCTTCCATTTGAATATACAGCCACTCTTGTGCCTGCAACAGGGCTTGACCTGTGTTTGAAAGCACACAAGAGGACTGCTGGCAACGAAGTGAATTCGATAATTGGTTGCTGGTTTGCCAAAAAGGGAAGACTACACACAGTTCGTTCCCCTTTCAGCAGCACACACGACGGAGTGTGTTCATCTTCAGAGTGTGTGTGTTAATCAGACGCCTTTCCTATGTGATATTTCTGCCACGTGTGGCCACAGCAAAATGGTAGCAGAGTATAAGCTTGGCATGTTGAAAATCTGCCTCTGAGCCCGAGCATCCGGGCTGGGAAAGATACTTTGCTGAAACCCGGGAAAGCTGCTGCCAGCCAGTGTTAGGCAATGCTGCCTTGTAGCACCGTAGATGCAGGGCAGAATGTCGAGAACCACATTAACATGTAGAAGACAGGCAGAGAGTATGCAGGACGGTCTCTGTGATTGGCAGAACATAAAGTTGGGTAAAGGCTGAGAGCCACAAAACCCTTGGCATGGAATATTATAACAGGGTTCAAAACAACTAGGGGGCCTATTTTATCATTTATTTAATTGGTTAAAATTGTTTCCAGGCAGCCTTTCAGGAAGGCACCTTCTCAAGGAAAAATGCAACCATACAGAACAAATATAATTAAAACCAATAAATATATATTTAATAAAACACCATAAAATGGTGAGATTAAAAATTGATTAAAAATGGAATAATACAGATTTTACCAGGATGGGCAGCAAAACAGGTAAGTTTTCCTAGGGCGTGCAAAGCTGAAGCTTGTCAAACCCATTCTACGCGTATTCTCGCCCCATACGATTCTTTTTGAGTGCAGAACTTTTAAGAAAGATCTTATCCGTTGGGCAGGGCACTTGCCTGCTGAAACGGGCCACTGGTAAACAGGACGGGAGTGAAAACTGGGGAGCAGTTTAATGCAGTGAGTACTGAGCTGTTGTGCTTTCCAGGGCAGCTGCCCACCTTCAGTTACTCCATAAATTCAAAAATAAGACATTTGATTTGGACAATTAAAAGGCTAGCTGCAACAGAAGGCATTGTCCTCAAGGAGAAGAGGCTTCCATGCCAACCTGGGTTGTTACCATAATGCAAGAAGATGAATTCTGTGCGCGCGCACGCCTGTGTGTGTGCAGTTGCGTGCATGTGCATGAACAGATGGATCTCCCAGCACCTAATGGAGCGCTTGGGTCCCAGAAAGCATTGGAAGGAACCTGCGGGAAACTCAAGAGATATGATTCGAGATTTTACGCCCAGGGTGCAGATATTGGTGTATCTTGGGAAGATTTGCAATGGATCTGCTAGTGTTTCTGGCTCCCACAATATCAAGTCATGTTAAAAATGAAAAACTGCCTCAGCTGGGCTTTCGCTCACTGTTTCTCACCAGTGGATCCTGGTTGCTTTTGACCAGGGCTTTGTGGAGCTCTCCTGGCTGCCTTAAGAGGCAGGTATTAGGAGGTCTTAGACGCCCTGATCACAGATATAGACAAGGCCCCAGTCTGCTCACCACTGGCAAAACCACACAAACCCAGTTGCATCTGAGTCAGTTTGCATCCGGGACCACCTCCCCCCGCCCCCAGTTTACTTGTGAGGAAGTTTCTTTCTTCACTATGCAATCTTGTACAGCACTTGCATTCGCATTCATGGAACCGATGACAGCTCGTGCAGCTGCCACGTTCGGTTTCCCCATCCTCAGTTTAGGCCTCCTGATTTAAGCTACAAGAGGAAAACTGCAGAGATCGATAATTCTCTGAACCTGCCTCCGGCCTTCTCAAACGCCCTCGTACCTTGTGCAAAACGAACCCTGCAGCACTGTGAGGAGATGGGCCTTGCGGCGGGGGGAGAGCTCCAGAAATGCGCAACCAGCTGCTGCCTGAAACTGGGAATCGTATCACTCTCTGCACCGCTTGCTGTGGCCTCTTTTTCGGTAAAGCCGAAGGACATGCACTGAATCCCCCCTCCCTTCTTTGTGCTTCCTGCTAGGAGACCTGGTACTGGTACGGGGAAGTCAGCATCAACAACGTCGTCATGAGCGGGGTGAAATGCTCCGGAACGGAGATGGCCATCTCGCACTGCCAGCACGACACTCAAATATCCTGCCCCCGGGGAGGCGGGCGCTACGCCGCTGGTGTTTCCTGCACTGACAGTAAGCCTGCGCTAACGCTTGAGAAGAAGGCTGCCCCTGAGCTCACCTGCCCCGTTGCTTGTGGTTGCCGCCGCTCCCACCCAGTGCCCTGAAATGGTGCTCTACCTGGGACGGTCCATGGGCAACAACGACAGATGGCCGGGCGGGAGGGACTTCTGGCGGTGTCCCCATGTGATGGCCAAATGTCGATTTTAAAAAGACTGTAAAAGCCACTGCCGCCGCCAAAGGTAGCTCTGTCCCTGCCCCACGCACAGCAAAGGTGAATTTTACTGCTCTCAGTCTTGCAGCAGCCTTTGGATTTTATTTCTATAGGAATGCCTAGGACTTGGTTTTATTTATTTAAAGTATTTTTCTCCCTCCTAAGCCAAACAGAAACCACCAAACAGTCCACAGGTTTAAAATGTCATTAGAAAAAGAAATGTGAAGGGAAGAGGAAATGACTGTGTAATAAAATTAACATTTTTCAGGGGTACTACTGGAATAGCTCTGATAAATTCAGACAAATATATTCTGAGCTGAAATGCACCAATCTTTCATTCAGGTTCTTTCCCCCAAAGTCACACTGGCAATTCTTTATGTTCCATTCTTGCTGCATTGTAATTTAATAACTTGAGAATGTGGTTTGGCTCAGCTTGGCTCTGTTTGTAAGCACATGCCAGAACACTCCATTTCCTCCAGACATTAATACAGAATTTATTTATTTATCGATTTATATCCTGCCTTTTTCCTGCAAAGGGCTCAAAGCAGCTTACATCATTCTCCTCCTCCATCTTATCCCTACAACAACAACCCTGTGAGGTAGGCTGGGCTGAGAGGCTGTGACTGGCCCAAAGTCACCCAGCTGGCTCCATGGCTGAGCGGGGACTCGAACCCAGGTCGTCCGAGTCCCAGTCCCTTGCTCTTCACCACTGCACCACACTGGCTCCCCAGAATTATGGACTTCAGGTGGCTGTTGCATTGTCCGGGTTCTGTTGTAAGACCATTTTCTAGGAAGGACCTTGCTGTCCCATCCGTGCTTGTTTCCCCTGCCATGACCCAGGATCAGCACGCTTCGTAATCACGAGCAGCAGCTTATGGCTGTTCCCAGCATTAAGAAAAGCTGGTGCCGATCGTGGTCTGAGCCACCTGCTTGGTGAAGCCGACGGCTGCTGAATATCATGCTCTTGCTTTCCTTGCCTCGCCTCCAGCTGCAGCGGATCTTGTCCTCAACGCCAGGGAGGTGGAGAAGACGTCCTACCTAGAGGACCGCCCGATGAGCCTGCTGCAGTGTGCCCTGGAGGAGAACTGCCTGGCCTCCTCAGCCGTCAACACGTCCATTACCCACGGCTACAGGAGGCTCCTGCGTTTCTCCTCCCAGATCCACAACAACGGGCAGTCTGACTTCCGCCCCAAAAGCGGGCGCCACGCCTGGATATGGCACGACTGTCACAGGTACGGTGTTGCTTTTCACCTTCATCTTGACTGTCTGCAAAAGGAAACGCACCCCAAAGCAAGGCAGGGTGCTGAGTGCCCCAGTGGCCAAAACCCAGGGTTGCTGGGAGCACTGGTTGCAGCCAAGCCACTGGAAGGCAGCTCTGAACTAGAGCTTGGTCCTGTGGATTGAAATGCTGGTTTTCCTTTCATCCCACCCTGCCTCGCCCCGCTTCCTTTCCCTTTCTCTTGCTTAATCCTGCAATCGATGGTCTGGGTCCACCAGCCAGCAGACAAGGGTGAGTCATCACACCTGAAATGAACCTCCAAAGCCACCACAAACCAAACCAGATTGTTGGTCTGTTGAATCCTGCCGGCTCTCACGGGCAGTGTATTACCAAAATCTCAGAGGGCTTTCCCAGCCCTGCCTTGCAGGAACCTAGAGGTCTGGGGAGTGGGGAGCCATGGGAACTCCAAGGGCCGGATTGTACCTGTCCTGGGACACTCCCACAGTTGGGAATAGGGATCTGATAAGTCATGCTGACAATGGGTCCCAGCCGCACTGATGTCATCAGGTCCCCAGCTGATGCAGGGGAGCCAACGTCACTCCTCCTTTGCCTTCCAGTGACATCAGAGGCCTGCAATGACATCACCAGCAGGAGCCTACCAATGACATCACAGCTGCCTGTGGGAGGGTCAAGCCAAACCTAGCATGGGTTCTGGGCCACCAGACGCGTGACCAATCCTTCCATCATGGCCCTCACTGACCCAGGCAGACTGCAAACCCGTGGCCGTTATTGAGCCCCGGAGGGCTGGGAAGCGTGGCTGGTGGGCCACGTCTGTTCCGGTGAGGCACAGGCTCCGTAGCCCCCCCCCCACTCAACCCCACAGCCCACCCAAAAAGGCTGTGCCACATCACAGCCCGTTTGCTCTCCGGCATTTCCAGACCGCTCCGTTTGAGTGGGGCGGCTGCAGCTCGCCAGCGTGCCTCAACCAGCCTCTTTGTGTACGGAGGAAAGCAAAGCCAAATTCTCTTCAGTATTTCCAGTCTGTAAACACACTAATATAAACACCTGAGTGAGCAGACATATTTTAGGAATAGCGTCAGGACTGAGGTTTTTTCATTTTTTGCATTCGAAATAGCTTGAGCATCCAACTTCAAAGAAAATACTTTGGATGTCTCAAAAGGCCTTCTTTTTTTCCTTCCTCCTTTTGATGGTCTCATTTCTGCTCAGGACGTAGGAACAGGCCAGGTGGGGGGGGGGTGGACTTAGAGGGCAGGTAAAAGGAAACCAAAAAACATCTGGTAGGAATTTTAATTACAGTAACTGTGGGGCAAAAAACAGGCAAACAAACTTCCTTTTAGAGGAAAAACCCCTCTTCACCTCCCCTTATATCAACACATTTAAGTAGAAAAAATAGATATATTAGGTAGTACTACCTATGCCCAATATCATGTGTTTAATATTCAGCTAAGTTTTATTTTTACAGGTGAAAGAGAGATAGGTAGCTGCATTTTTCAGCCTCTCAGTTTTCTCTAGCTTAACTGGGATGTGGCTGGTTTTTGTGGCTCCAAGCCCAAGCCTGTTTGCATTTATTGCAGACTCAGGAGTGAGAAATTGCCTGGGTGTAGGACGGGCGTGGGCAACGCAAGGTCTGCAACGCAAGGTCTGTGCGCCGCACACGGCTCCCCACACCTCTCTGCCAGACTCGCTGCCGAATTTAGAGGATAAGAAGTGTTTTCCAGCAAAATAAATGGTGGGGTTAGCACTGCTGAGCACTGAAAATGTTGCGCTTAGGTTGCAAAGAAGTTGCCTGCTTTTAGTACTTCACTCTCGGTTGAGAAAGGTGGCATTCGGTGATGGGTGGGGCAGGGGAGAGGCCGGGGGGTTTGGCTGCAGTGGAGGGCATGGCACCCATAGGAGCCGCACCCTGGATATGCACCCCATATCCAGGGTGCGGCTCTGCTGGGCTAGGGCGACAACGAGTCTGCCTTTCTATGAGGAAGAATTCTGCGTTCCACAAAAAGATCAAAACCATTCAGTGGAGGAAGCCAATGCCCACTTGGCGGAGCTGGACTTTCAGGGCTGAAGATCCAGAATACCCACTGCTTCTCCTGGATTCAGTGGGGCTGCGGGGAGGTGCTCTCTATCTGGGCAACACCTTACTCCAGCTCTCCAGTTGACTTCACCCAGCAGTAGAACAGCCCAGTTCTGTTGACCCTCTTTTGCTTGGAGGTCTCTGGCTTAAGATATGCTCGGCACGGTGCTTAGTGTCCCCAGGATTAGAGGCGCAAGCGAGCGGACATGTGCTTTGGTGGCTCTTATGCAATTTACCACACCAAGTGAACTCATCTGTGTTATCGTTCGGGGCAGAGTGACATGAATTCTCAGATCCAGTGCCTGCAGATGGTGTTAATTTCCTGCCTCCGCAATAACATTCCGAAAATGGAATGAATTTATTTATTTATTTATTTAAAGCATTTCTACGCCGTCCTGTTGCGAAAGCCTCTCCAATTTGGTTGGAGAATTCCCACATTTGGGCAACGTTCTGATCTGGCCAGTGATTGCCTCCTGGGAAGTGCTGGTGGGGACCCGAATAGCTTGGTTGAGGAACCGGGGACACGCCCTTTGGGGAATTTCCACTCGGCTTCCCATGGTGCAGCACCAGTCCTGCTGGGGCAAACACCCAGGAATCCCTCCTCCAGCCTGTAAACCTAAATCCTGCAAAGAATCAAGCGGAGGCACAGATTTTAAGAGGAGCACTTTGCAGGCTGGCAAACTTGGCCCGGTCTCTGTGTTGTCCCATCAGCCCCAGCCAGCATGGGCAATGGTCAGGAATACTGGGAACTGCAGTCCAAAGCATGGGGGACTCATGCGCGGACACTCGTGGCAAACGTGTGAGTGCGTGAACTGCCATGGCTCTTCCCAAATGTGCTTCTGAACTGTAGTTTTTTGGAGGGGGCTGAGAGCGAAGGTCTTGGGTCGAGGGTCAGGCCTGCAACAGAAGATGGGACACATGCCAAATATTGGATGGATAAGTGAGGCATGGGGGTGTTTGCTGGTTACCCCATAGGAAAGGTTGCTCAGATTGCCAGCCAGGCTTGAAGGAAGCACCCTGCCCTGTAGCGTAGGGTGGAACAATCTGGTGTTCTCAGCTGTTTTGGACCCGAACTTCCATAATTCCTCAGCATTTGCTCAGTTGCAAAAGGCATTCCCCTCCCCAGGTCTGCACCTTAGAGCTGCCCACCTAGGCTGGGGTGTCTAAAGTTCTGCCCCTGAAGAAATCGGGGCATGCAAGGAGTGCACGAGCAGACCAAACCCCACATCTCAAGCCATGCAGAGCTTTTGAGAGTAACGCCAACACCCGCACCATGGCTTGGGCTGGGAGACCATGGATCTGGGCAACGGCACTGTGGCGCTGGTTTTAATTAATATCAACAAGAGGACGAGCGAACTTTAATCAAAACGCTTGCTTTCCTTCTGGCTTGTCACACAGACACTACCACAGCATGGAGGTGTTCACACATTATGATCTCCTGGATCTCAATGGGACCAAAGTGGCTGAAGGTCACAAGGCCAGCTTTTGCCTGGAAGACAGTGAATGCCTCGAAGGTAAGCAGTGTGCACCCAAAGTGCGCTCCAATATAAAAGAGAGGCCGTTTCCACCTCTTCCACCTCCGCATTTCAACAAGGTCTGATCAAAGGTTTCTCCAAAGACTTCTTTGGAGAAACATTGTCTGTCAATGTTTTTCTAATACTCCCCGTATTCTCTAGCCCATTTAAAAGGGACTCCCTGGGGAGACAAGCTCTGATCCAGAGAGTTGGCTATATCAAACTTGATATCAATGTGGTTGATTATCTTATGTGCATGAAATGCTTCATTCATTCCAATGGGCACATGTGGCTCCCTTTGGGACAGTCCGACCACCAGTAAGCCTGGCCCCATACTTGTCTGCTCTGTGTGAGAGAGACTGTCCAGAGTCGCGGTCTGAGGCCTTTCTGGCCCGTCAACTACTTCTTTCATTGGTGGTGGAACCCAGGAGTTTCTGCATTCAAGAAATCACTTCTAAAGTCTTCCTTGGAGTTGCTAGTGGAAAGAACTCTCCATAGGATTTGCCCCCACCATGGCAATAAACTGAAATGGTGTTGCAAGCATGAAAGCTCTATGCATACATTGCTGTCCACTTAAAATGGTGGCAAATACCAAGCCTCGAGCGATACACCAAGAGCGGTGAAAAAGTGGTGTGCACAGATGAGTTGCCAGGCACACAGCCACCGGTTGCGTTTGTGCACCTCTGAAGACGGATCCCCATCTCAGTGCTGTGCTGGCCAGGTGCGTGTTGATTGTGCCTCTCCATTCAGAACCACTGGTTGAGGCTCGCAACTCACTGCACATGACCAGGACCGGATGAGACCCCAAGCTCCTTGCACACTGTAGGAGCAAAGAGAGCCCCCGGCAAGGAGGGCCAGAGGAGAAGTGCCAGCCAGCCTGGTAGATACTGGCCATCCCAGTTCCAGCAAGGCCCCACTTTTGCCCTTGGAGGATAGACAACCTGCCAGCGGGTTGCTTCTCAAGGCCTCTAGAAATTACCTTAGCCTTTGCCTCTGCTTCCCTCTCTCCTCCAGGTGTCTCAAAGCAGTACGAGTGTGCCAATTTTGGGGAGCAAGGGATCACAGTTGGATGCTTTGATGTATATCGGCATGATATTGACTGCCAGTGGATTGACGTCACGGATCTCAAACCAGGAGACTACCTCTTCCGGGTAGGCTGTGATTTTCAGCAAGGGACACCTGCCGTTGTCTTGGGGCAGGACCCCCCCCCCCCAGCCCTCTTCCCAAGGCCAGGTGGCATCAGGATCACACGCACATGCCACCCAGATCAGAATTGGCAGCAGGGATATTCCCCAAGGGGATTCTGTGGAATCTATAAATCCCAGGAGACTTGGTGGCCTGCAGACTGGAGGTTTTGCACTCTGGTCTTAAGTGTTGGACCGACATCCAGTTGATACAATCAGCTCCATCAAACAGTAAAGGATTTGCTGGATTGTACTGCTTAGGCTGCTGAAGCAAGGGGGCGCTTATTTAAACCTTCCCCCATGTAGAATTAGAACTGTCCCTGCACATGGAAAAAAAAGTTTATCACAAGGGTTTCATTCTTTAGTAGTTCCTGTTAAACAGGAGCGTTGAACCTCAGACAAATGCCGCTTGCTTGGATTCCCCTGGAAGACAATTCTCTAGCTGAATTCAGCTTTTGTACCAAAAGGGATTTGATATCCCAGTGTAACTTGTGGGCTGGCCCATAAAGCTATGGTCTGTATTACTGAAGAGGATACTTCAAACTAAACAGTCAGTTACAAACAACTTTAAAATTCCAAAGATCCTGTTTGCAGTAAAGTTAAATGTCAAGCTATGGATGAATATCTATAGATAGGAAACCACAACTGCAATAATTATAGAATTCACTTGTTTACATTCATTTCATGAACTGGAACTCTCCTCTCATTGGTGTGAGTGTGTATGTGCGCGCGTTTGTAGGGGAGAACAGAACCTGAGCCTCTGTAGATAAGGTAGCAAATAATTCCAGCAGAATGGATTGTTAGCAGCACCTATCAAAAATAGAAGAGTGCAGCTGGTTTTTTCACAAGGGCTGAAAAACCCATGCTCAGGACAAACGTTTGTGCAAAAAACTCAGGAAAGAAACTATTCCCTTCTGTGCCTCCCAGGAATGGACCACTGAAGCTTCCCAGGAATGCAGCCGTTGTGGTTGCATGCAAATGCAGTGCTTCTAGACGTCCTCTGCACGCCGGAACATGTGTATTTATTCATTCGTTTATTAGTTTTCGAACGTGCCCCATTAGCTGCATGGCTCCCTGGTCAGGTTACAACACTAAAACCATAAATACAATATAAAAATATGGATCACAAATTACAATAAAACATTAGAACCATAAAATAGTAAGGTAATAAAAGCCAGCATGCATTTCCCCTCTTTGATGAGCGGCTCCCTGATCTGACCTTTCTAAAGCTCTCCTGTCACTTCTTTCTCAGATAATTGTCAACCCGAACTTTGAAGTGGCAGAGTCTGACTTTTCCAACAATGTCATGAAATGCAACTGCAAATACGAAGTCCATCGCATTTGGATGTACAATTGCCATATAGGTGAGTGGTCATTTTTTGCTTTTATCAGAAAGGCCATTCGAAGGATATTTACAGGCAAGAAAACCCCTTCTGTTAAGTTAGACAATTAGTTTTCATTCTGGGAATCTTGTTTACTTCATTACTAACCTGTTAGAATTTCATTTGTCTTGTTCTGATCTGTGCCCAGTTTGTTCATTTCTGTAATGCTCAGTAATTTTTGCTTGCCCTGAAGGTCCAAGGGAGATCCAACCTGCAGTCTTTATTGTTGCTCTGGTGCATCCCATCCTACTGGGACACACTTTCCAGGGACTGTACCCTTCCTTGTGGTATCTGATCTGCTGAATTTTTGAAAGATAAGACACAGGCCCCTAGTTCATATGAGGGCAGTTTTAAGAAGCATGCAACCACCCAACTTTCAATTGCTTTCACTGGAAGATGCAAATGTTCTTCTGTTTGTAACATGTTTTTCCTCCGATGGGTATACATGTTTCAACTATACCAGACTCTGACACATCATATTTCAGATCTTTAGGACAAGGATCTGCATTTTCCAGACGATTTTAAATAGCATCTTATCAGCCCTTCAGATCGTTTGGACTTCAACTCCCATAAGCTGCAGCCAGAATAGACAAAGGTCATAAATGCTAGTTCTAATCCAGAACATCTGGAAGACACTAGGCTGAGGAAGGCTGTATCTGTGCGCCTTTTAAAATTGCCTGTAAAACGAAAGTCCATTGTCCCAGCTACCTCCTTCCTTTCCCAACAACCTTCCTTCAATTTGTGCAGCCTGTTTCTGCAGGACTTGAATTGAAATGAATGAAACCTGAAATAGGAAAGACTGGATTGCTGTTTGAAATGCATTTCACTGAAAGGAGCCCCTTTTTATGACTTAAGTAAAAAAAGCCCTTGTTTTCACATTTTTGTTTTTCAAATAAAGATACAACCTTAGGTCGGATGCTCTAGACAAAGGGGTAGGAAAGTATTTCCCTAAGTCCGCACGACCTTTGGCTCAGCCTTTGGTGTCCTTTTGGTGGACAACTTTCGTAATTCTTGAGTATTAGCTATGCTGACTGGGACTAATGAGTCCAGAACATCCGGGGAGCTGCCAGGGAACACAGGAAAAGCCCTGCTGGGTCAGACCAGAGGTCCATCCAGCCCACAGGATCCCTTGGGCAGGATGAGTGCAAGGCCTCCTCCTGCCCAAGCCCCCAAGCCCCGCGGCAACTGGTCACGCTGTCTCTCCCCACGGAGCCTTTCTGTTGACTGGCCAGAATACAGGAAGTTGAGAGCATGTTTGCCTCCGATTTGAAAGTGTGTGATTTTCCTGGTGATTCTGTAAGACACAAGAGTGAGGGAGATGCGTGTATTCTGAAATGTATATTAAGGTGTTTACTCAGGTGACTTAGAATATCCCTAATGCAAGTTGGGCTCTTGTTTCCTAAGGCTCCCCACACGTATAGATGCCTCTTCATACCCCATGAGTGTAACTGTGGGCGTAACTTCTTCATCTAAAGTGAAGTGGATATCCCATTAAGTGGGGCAAATGGCACTGCCGCTCAGCCGTTACTCCTGGTAAAAATGGTTCTATAGCCCAGCTTTCCTCATCCTGGTGCCTTCCTGACGTTTTGGAGTACGACTCCCAGAATCCCTGGCCTTCAGCCATGATGATTAGGAGTGATGGGGCTGCTGTCCAAAAGATCTGGAAGCCCCCAAGTTGGAGAGTGCGGCCTTGGACAAGGAGCCCGGGTTCGAAATGAACAAAGCCTGCATGTTCCCGGGCTGGGGCCCACGTTCAGTCCTCAAACCAGCACTCCCCCACTGTGAGGGATTCAAATTTAGTCACAAGAAACACCCCAAAGGTTGCCCGTGACTCCCCTTTCCATTTTCTCTGCCCCACAGCCGACTCCTTCAGTGAAGCATGGGAAGAGAAGTTTGATCACTTCAAAGGACTTATGAACAACCAGGTATCTTAACTTCCACCCTCCTATTTAAGGAAGAAGAAATCCCACCATTTTCCTAACCACTGCTCAGAAAACTAAAAGCAATCAAGCAACCAACCGTGAACTTTAAAAATTAGCTTTGTAAGTTATTTTCAAGGGTGTGCTCCATGCCTACTTTATGGTGTTCAGCAGCAGCAGTAGGGCTGGCTTTTACTTCACATATCGTCTCGCAGGAGGGGAGGTTTTGCACATGCCAGAAGACTTTCCTGCCCTCAGCATACGCCCTAACTTATTCCAGCCTTTGTCCACCGTGACATACAAAGGCCGTACCCACCTGGCTGACAACCTTCCTAAGGAAAGGATATCTGATGCTCGGAATGTTTCTGAAAGGACCTTCTTTCTTGGTCTTCACCTTCTGCTCGCTAAGATTTGAAAATCTGGCTCTACACCACTGATGCAGAACAGAAGCCTGTCATGACACGCAGCCATCTTGAGAAGATGCATTTCCTGTCCCGTCACATATTCTGAGAGCATATTCTGAGAGTTCGTTCTGATGGAAAGGTTCCACATACCACGCTGGAAAAACATCTGCCCAGCCATTCCCGACGTCTCAGTTTTGAAAATCATGACAAGTCTTTTTCTCAACACAATAAGCTGTTCAGCACCTGCCTTTTACTCTGATCCAGGCCTTCCTTTAACTCTTCCTGGCCCAGCTTTAACCCTGTACTCAATACTGCACATGTCATCAAAGGTACTCTGTAAAAAGGCTAATATATGGATCTTATACCATCAAGACCCCCACCCTTCCTGCACACGTTTAGACTGTCCCATGGTATCTTCAGGGGGCAGTCAAGGTCCATATATTAGTGAACAACTAATGGTGCTAAAAACCGTGCCCCTGTTCCTTTCAGGACATGCATTGCCACAGAAGCCCCCCTCCCCATCCTTGTTGGCGTGTCCGCGTTTTTGTCCCGGAAGGGTTGATGCCATTTGCCCATTTCCAGTGAAGAAAACCAAGTGGTGCTCTTCCCCTCCCCATTCGCCTTCTGCAGTGTGTCTGAGACTGGAAAGCAGACCTCGTTAAGACCGGCTGCGAAGTCTAGCCTGGCATTCTGCCTCCAAAAGGCACCAGACGGATGCTGCTGGATGCTCAGAAAACGGGACGTGTAAAGGAGAGGCTTTCCCTACTGTTTGACTTAAGTACCTAATAATCAGAGGTACACTGCCTGTGTCCGTGGAGGTTCTATTGAATGCCATGGTTACAGCCAGTGCCAGGCCAGGCTTCTAATGACATTGGTACTATGGGTGAAGGGATACCTAAAGCTTAGGCAAAGAGCACAAAAATCAGTTTGGGGGTTTCCCTCTCTTTAGAACTTACTCCTTACCTACTCTTGTAACGTGTGATGAAGAAAGAAGAAAAGCCTGCCCCAACTGGAGAAATGAACTATATACCCACACGTGGTGCTAATGAAGTCGCATCGTCCCGTTGGAGAAGTTAAGCAAGCCGAGCTCACACCTCTTCTCGCTCAGGAACTCTGTGAATGTCTTACAGTGACCCATTATGTTGCACCCTCCGTTCCGATCTCCAACACGGGAGCAAGCAAAACCAGACAAGTTTGTTTGGAGGCTGCATAGGAGGGGGATTATAAAAGACACTTTGCACAACTAAAAATGCTGGATGAATAAGGATTGTGCTTACCCTCGGTAGCTTTTTTGCAGTAATGCACAAGACAACGTTCAGTGTCTGTTCTCTTTTATACCATGGATAACCTACCTCGCAGGGCTGTTGTGAGACGAACGGCCAATTCACATAAACCACGCTTGGGCGGGCTGCTTTCTCGTTCAGCACGTGGCAGCGGGTGTCATCGGGCTCCAATCTGGCGGTCTGGCACGTCACCAGCAGCCATATGGCGGCAACACACAAACCCAGCAGGTGCGAGCGTGATCAACAAGGCAAAGGGTGGGCCGGCCGCGAGCCTGCAAGTGTAGGGGTGCTGCACTGAACTGCAGGGGGCGCCGCAGCTCTCCCTCGGTGCAGAGCAGCAGCCAGGGCAGGAGGTTTGCCAACCGCGGGCGGGAGTAGCCAAACGTCCAGAGGTGGTCCTTCTGAAGACCAACTCCAGATGTGCGGCTCCTGTGCTAGAATACCACTGAGAGGAATAAAAGTGCTTTGTTCAGAGCCCTGCTGTCTACCAGAATGCCAGCCAGGGTCGCAGGGTCCTTTCCAGCCTTCCCCAACCTTGGGTTCCCCAGATATTGTTGGACTGTCCCCCTCAACCAGCGGCCACATCAGCTAGGGATGACAGCAGCTGTGGCCCAGCAACATCTGGGGATGTGAATTTGTGAAAGGCTGAGCTGCAGAATTCCACCCAAGGCCTGCCTTCCATGCTGGACTTTGCCAGAAGCTTTGCTCCCTTTGGGAAGGGGCAAGGCAGGTTCCCGCAGGGATGCACAGCAGAGCGGGAGCTGTTCCACCAAAGGTGCTCTCCAGGTTGTCCCGGCAATGCAGGGCTCCCTTCTACAGGACTGTGATTTCAGGTACCAGTATCTAAAAGCCTCTGGACTCTAGAAGTCCATCGGGGTTGGCAGTCACCCAGCTTTCCTCTGCTGCTTCAGCCCCAAGCAGCCCCGGTCACAATGTATTTGAGCAGCACTCCTGCCATCCGAGGCAACGTGTCCGTTTCTGGGACACATCCCTAGCTCACCGGAACACAGGGACACATCGGCTGGGTCAGACCATCAGTGCTCCAGCCGCTCTCTAGGGCTTCCGGTTAGGTTCTTTCCAGCACACCTGGAACAGCCGGGAACTGCACCTGAGGCCTTCTGCATGCAAGGATTCTGCTCTACTACCAAGGCGTGGTCCTTCCCCAGCACACCGTTCAGTCCAGTGCTGGAACTGGAGGCTTGAAGCATGGACTGTGTTCTTACCTCCTGGGAGCTGGCATGGCCAACTGCCCCGTATTTGCCGTGTGTCCTTACGTGACCTCACTCAAGTGGCAGCCATCCACCAGGTCCAGCTAGACAGGTTTAACCGTATTAAGAGCAATGCAATTAGACATGCGTCCTCCTGTCCAGGGCTGGATGCTCAGGTTGCCCTGTCCATTCCTAGACGGGTTAGTGTGAGCCAGGGTTTCCCAGAAATTTAGTTCTCAAACTTTGCCATAATCCCAGCTCAGAGTCCTGGAATGGGCAAGGGAGGCGGGAAACACCACACCTGAGCATCACAAACCACCATTTCCATGCCACTGGAAAATCACAGCCAATTTCCACAAATCTGGGATCAGCGGCAAGGGTGCCAGGTGGCTTGCATCCACCTTTCTTGGGGTTGGGGGGGTGTTGCAGGGTTAACAACAGAAATATGGGAAACTAGCAGTAGTCAACCTCTCTCACCAGGAGAACAAGCCTCAGATTCTGGAAGGAGTCCTGACCCTGATTTTCTTAAGTAAGCAAGGGAAAAATGCAATTTAGTTGTGAAAATGCTGTGGGCTAAAGAGGATTTGCAATACCACCATGCATAATGGTTTGTGTGTTAACAGCTTTAATTGTGGAATGAAAACCAAAAAGATCCTTACAAACTTCAGTAAACAAGATGTTGACTCCGGCTAACGTGTCCCTCTGTGCCTTTCTCTCACATTTGTTTGTGATCTAGTCTTCACCTGGTTAGGGTTAAGATTGGTTAAGGGGCGGACATTCATGGGCTCTTCTGGCGTAGCTCAAGGCAGCTGTTCCTCTAGGTGACAGCATGCAGGGAGAGAAGTGCCCGTTTGCGTGGGGGGCTGAATCCCAGAGCTGGAAATCCACTGACAGCATTGCCATCGCTTTGCAAAGCATGTCAGTGCTAAGACTTCCAGCAGAGAAACTAGAATGGGGGAGAAGCAGACAACCTTCCTTTACCTGCTGCTTTTCTCCTGCTTCTGTAGCCTCTCAAAAAAGCAAATCAAAACAACCAAAAATCACCAGGGGTTCCACACTTGCCTTTCAGCCACAAACATATTTGGACACCCAAACTGTGGTGCCTACACAACTCTGCTGTGCCACGTGGAGGCGTGATCTGTAGGGTTGTCGTTCTTGTCAAGGGCTGGAGGACAGAAGAGTCACCCTAGCAGATTAAGGAATGTCTACAGACCAAGAAGCGGGCGGCTGGTTCCAAGCCATGCCCACCTTTCAGAGCACAGGTGGATGAATGACAGTAAAATAAAAATCCGCCAAGGCACATGAAAACGCAACTGTGCTTTGGCAACGTATTCAAATGGCGGGTGGATCAGGGGGAGGGAATCTCTTCTTATGTTACAGCGCCCTCCTGTGGAGCTTTTACACATCCGCGTCCTCCCCACCAAGGAACCAGGAATTTCAATATCCCACATCAGCACGAATCATTTCCAGCTTCTGCAGAAGCAGCCCCTGTGACCACCCTTGTCCCGGCGCCTCCAAAAAACACATCCCACGGAAACGCACAAACGAGGCGCGCCACGGCCGTGCCGGTGTTGTGTGCACGGTTTAATACTGCACCCAGGCTGTCACACCACCCCGAGCTGCTCCGGACAATTTGGCCCTTTTACTCTGGCAGGGCTGTGTTTTCTGGCTCCGGCGCTTGGCCGCTTGAGTTCCGCCGGTTTTTGCGCTGCAACCCCAAAGCCCTGGTCACCAGCCTCCGAGCTACGGCTGTGTCCGTCTGGGGTCTCTCTTTGGCCAGCTGAAGCAGCTCTGGGAGAAATGGGAGAGAGAGCAGAGCGTGAGGGAGAAGGAAGAGGGGGCAGCCATGCAGTGGAAGGACGACTCGCAGGAAGGCCGCGCCAGCACTTTTTAACGAGCAGGGTCCTTGACATCCGCACCCTCCACAGAATTCCCCGCTCTCGTGAGTTTAGCTGCAATGCTCCTAATAAGTTTTCCTTCCTTACTTGGTTTATATCCTTCCCGATTAGCCATAAGCTCTCTGGGCGCTTACATAGAATATATTGTTTCTTATGCGCCATTAAGCATTCCGGGGTTGCTTCACCTTGACTGGGCAACTGAAACCCCTGCACTTTATGAAATACCTGCTCCTGCAGAGGTGGGAAATGTGACAATCAGGTGTGTGCGTTTTAATACGGAGCAACACAGCTGCCTGCATTTCCAGACTCCCTTCACCACTCAGCGGGTAAGAATGCAACATGGCTGGGGAGGGAATGTAAGGACTCGAGCATTAGGATTTGGGCCCCAGCTAAAACATTTTTCCAACATGTTTTTAAGCCCTAGACTGGATCTAAAGTAAAATCTATTGCTGTAGGCAAGGAATGTCATTTTTAATAATCCTCCAATGAAACAGAAAAAAAGTAGCCCTGCGTTCAGGAGCCCTGCCAAGAGCCTGGGCCAGTTCAATGTCGTGCAAACCAAAGTCTTCCAGAACCATGGCGAACCTTGTAGTGGCATGGTCCGTCCTCCTCCTCTGTGCCTGGGGAAGGCTGAAGCCATCCACTGAAGCCATCCATGATGCCCAAGCACAAAGAAATGTGGTTTGTTAAAATTCTATGTACTGAGCAAACCAGTATGACAGCCTTCAAACAAACCACAGTTTCCCCAAGCAAGTAAGATGCTTTGAAATTCCTCTCCTGGTACATGCCAAAAGAGGCTCACCTTGGCTCCCGCGCCTAGCAGTAAACCAGGATTTTCCAGACGTTGCTGGACTGAAACTCCCATCATGCCCTGCTAGAGGCTCTGCAGACTAATGGGACCTGCAGCCCAACAACATCCAGAGGCTGCAAGGTGCAGTAAACCATGGTTTCCTGTTACATCTGAATTATCCCCGTAGCTACACTGGCTGGCATAGTAGGCCAAAGGAGGCAGGCAGGGACAAGGCCCGTTGGTCCACTGTTTGGTCCTTAGGCCTGAGAGGCAGGGAAATTTAGGACAGGAGAGATAAGCAGAGAAAAAAATGAGGAAGACCTGAGGGGGGAAGAAATTGGCAGCAAACAGGTTACTGCTCCTGCGTGGGCACACCAACAACTCCTCCCAACATGCCGCGTCCACCTCTGGGAGAAAGTTTAGAAATACCCAGCCTTTCAAAGCTCGACTTACCCTGGGGCTACTTCTGACATGGACCATGTTACAGTGGTACCTTGCCTCACGAATGCCTCAGTTCACGACCAAATTGGGTCGCAAACAAAAATGTCATAAAAATGTTGACTCAGGTAGCACACTCTACATTGGGGACGATCATGGCCATCTCCCCACCCCCCAGAGTGGGGAGATGGCCACAATCGCGGTCGCACTCATGCAGGGAAGACAGGCGTAACTGTGGGTGTGCTCAGGGAGTGGGGGAGAGGGCCGCAATCCTTGCTGTTCTTTGTCAATTTGCATCAAATTTTTCTGATTAAAAAAAATAGTTACAGAACGGCTTAACTTTATTTACATTGAACCTTATGGGGAAATTTGACTTGGGTCACGATCAATTTGGGTCACAACCAGAGTCCTGGAACAGATTAAGTTTGTGAGCCTAGGTACCACTGTATTTATTTATGGATTTATTTAGCCGAATGTCTTTCTTGGCTGCCTTTCAGGGAGCCTACAAAACAAGACACATTATAAAAGCTGAAAAGGCAATAAAAACAATCAAACAGCAACAAATGTTCTAAAAATACAACAAACAACAGCCTTGAAACAAAACCTTCACCTGCTGGTAGATCCCAGTCTGCTAAAACAGTACCAGGAAAGGGCAAGAATATAGCACAGAAACAGAGCGAGTCAGAAGGGATCCCCGTGGGCCATCTAGTCTGACCCCCGGTTCCAGCCGGCTCCACTCACAACATGTGCATGTCTAGCCTATCCTTGAACACCCTCACTGATGGGGCCTCAACCACCCCCTGTGGAAGCCCATTCCATACCCTTGGGTTCCTAACTGTCAGGAAGTACTTCCTGGCATCCAAACTGAACCTTGGTTCCCTGAGCTTGGCTCCGTTGAAGCGCGTCCTGCCTTCCTCTGCAGGGGAGAACAGGTCTCTACCCACCTCCATGTGACACCCCCTCACATACCTGTATGTCGCCAACAGATCCCCTCTGAGTCTCCTCTTCTCCAGGCTGAAGAGACCCAGTTCCCTCAGTCTCGCCTCATACCCCATCCCCTGCAAACCGGCCACCAACCTTGTGGCCCTACGCTGCACTGACTCCAACCTGGCTGTAGCCTTTCTGTAATGAGGGGCCCAAAACTGAGCACAATACTCCAGTTGCGGGCGCACCAGAGTCGCATAGAGTGGTAGTAATCCCTCTCTCGCTCTAGAAGCCACACCTCTGGCTATGCAACCAAGGGTGGCGTTCGCCCTCTTGACCGCCGCATCGCACTGCTGACTCATGTTTAGCCTGCAGTCAACCAGCACCCCGAGGTCCCTTTCACAAGTGCTGCTCTCCAGCCACTTGTCCCCTAACCTGTACTTATGACACAGATTCCTATGCCCCAAGTGCAAGACCTTATACTTATCCACATTGAACGCCATCCTGCTGTCTCCTGGCCACTTCCACAGTCTGTCCAGAACCTTCTGGATCCAGAGCACCTGCTCCGCAGCTGTGGCCACTGCCCCCGTTTTAGTATTGTCTGCTAATTTGATCAGCAGACCGTTCAACCCTTCTTCCATGTCATTGATGAAAAAAGGATCAGCCCCAGGACAGAGCCCTGGGGAAAAATGTTAAGTTTTCAAGGCCTTCTTAAAAGCCTGCAATGATGGGGCCTGGTGAACTCCTAGAGGCAACCCCTTCCAGAGGTGTGGGGCCACCACAGAAAAAGCCCTCACTTGTGTAGCGCAACTGAGACGGGCCGCCCTTGCTGTTTTCAAAAGCGCAAGCAGGCAGGTATGGGTGAAGTCCTCCAAGTCCCTTGGTCCCAAAGCATCCTTCAACCTGGTACTCTCCCAATGAGTTGGAGTACTGGCAATTGTACTCTAGCAGAACTGGAGGTCACCTGGTTGATGAGGGCTGATGTAATGTGTAGCCAGGCCTTGAGTTTCCTCTCAATCTTGAGGACATTTGCAAAAACTATGCGTACAGGTGTATTTGGAAGGCTTCCAATACCCAAAACAAAACAAAAAAGCAAGAGGAATCGTCCTACAGAATTCCAAATGGGGGCAGGATATCTCCCATCCAGAATCAAAATGTCTTACACTGAACACTCTTCACATCTCAGCACACTGATATTGCTAACAAGACACTTCCCTTTAAAAATGGCTTTTCTGGATCTTTGGAAATGCATAATAATTTGTGAGCACAGCGCTTCCTCTCAGTGCACACACCTGCTGGGGGCTTTTGAGGTCGTTTTACCATGTTAGGCATACCCATCAATGCTCTCAACAAATCAACAGCTGATTTCCATCTCCCACCAAAGATGAAGTCAATGGGCTTCTCACATATCCTAGAATCCATACTAGATCAGTCGTATAAACAATCAGAAGTTATACTAAGAGGTAAGCAACTTGTTGGGGGGTTGAAGGCCCCTCCTCCAAAGCCAGCAAGGAAAAGCAAGATACTCCACCTCTGGGCAGGCCAGTAAAACAAAATGTGTCCCAACAACAGACTGGCGGAGGACGGACAGCGCTGACAGGAGAGCTTTGTTTTCTCCACAGCCAGCTTGACGTGGAAACCAAGAGCGCTGCCTTACAGATCTGTCCATCTTTCCTCAGTCCAATCACTCACCTGTGTGGAATTCCCAGTCATCTATGGTGACCAGGTGATGTGCTAAATACAAGACTATGCTAGACCTCGACTGTAAAGTGACAGAAACACATTTCCAGATGTAAACGAGGCCACTGCTATGGGGAGAGGGAACTCTACATACAAGATTTCCAGTGGGAGTAGGCTCAATATTATCGCATCTCTTACTTGGCCGCTGAAGCGCCTTGATTTTGGACTGTCTTGTGCCATGGATAAGAGGACGGATCTTTAAGGCAGAATAGCTTTTTTCCAAAGCTTGAGATGCTGAAAACAAGAGAATGCCAATGGTGAGGTATATAAAAGTAGTATGAGCTAAACACTTCCCCAGAGTAGCCACAAAGGGTACCAAAGTTTTTCCAGGAGAAGTTTGGCCCAATGTTGTTATCTGGCAGTCAAAAACACACCCAAGATCTGTTCTGGTGCCCCTCCAACAGTTCCATGTTGAGCCTCAGGTTCATACACCTCCCCCCTTCCAGTTCCATCCTTGACTTCCTGCAACCTACAGTTTGCCAATTTAGACATCAAAGCATCAGAAACATGCACACCTGAGATTTGCTTGCACAATGCCAAGCCGTGGTTTCTTGTTACCTGTGAACCAAGTCAATGGTGCAGGAGCATTACTTGGCTGCTGTTCTCCACCTGTTACTCATCTGTTTTATCACTCTCCTTAGCACTAGCTTTCCCTAGGAGTTGCTAAAGGGAGGAACAAGGAAAATTAGCTGCTAGGGAGGCAAGAAAAGAGTGAATGGAGAGATGGAGAAATGTCCACCCTCACTGTATGCACTTGACTTCTATCCTTCCAGCTCTCTCTGTCTGCTAGAACGCAAGACAACATTCACAGGTGATGCTGTTCTGCGCAGCCAGGAAAACCTGTATTAGGTGCTTTTACAACGCCGTCTGCAAAACGGGAAGAGGAGGATCGATGCAATTTTATGGAACGCTGTGGTAGATTCACTCAGTATGTGCGCTGTGCAAAAAGTCAGTTACCTGCTGCCAAACTGGAGAAGACTCCAAGGGCATGGGTGTCATCAACCCACTGCAGCTTAAATCCGTTCTCCCTAAAAAGACATACAGATCACTGTGTTAATGGGCTACTGAAAGCCGCAGAGAATCTATCTCCCCACACATAAGCACAGAGAACGGATCCACCACGCCTGCCCGCATCGCCCACCCCAGCAGCAATGGCCCCTTCACATGGGAAATGGGCCAGTCTGACCAGAAAGCTCAGAACGAATTCGCACGAGGATTTCGGATGGGGGCACATGGGAGCGAATGCCAACTCGACTTGAGAAGAGGCGACTTTCATGGGAGAGCACGGGATTTACAGTGCTCGTGGCTCGATTCTCAGTCTTGGGAAAGAAAGAGAAGATATGATACTTCCACCTGTGGCTCAGTATGAAAAGGAACAGATCAAAAGGAGAGCCTTCTCCGCAGTGGCCCCCAGATTATGGAATGCGCTCCCCAGAGAGGCCCGCCTGGTGCCGACGTTATATTCCTTTCAGCGCCAGGTAAAGACCTTTTTATTTAACCATCATTTTAACAATTAAGCGGTTTAGATATGTTAAGATTTTTTGTCTCTTTTGTTTCACAGTCGCACTATTTTATTTTCCTTTTTTAGTTTATATGTTTTATTGTAAATGTTCTAATATTGTATGTTAGAATTTTATATTATGTAAGCCGCCCTGAGTGCTTCCGTGGAAGGATGGGATATAAATGCTTGAAATAAATGAATGAATGAATAAAATGCTACATCCGTCAGCCTGCTGCATTTCCCGGTGACCTGCAAGGGAACCTCAGATGGGGAACTTCCAGCCTAGGGCCCAACCCCATCTGCCCCACACACAAGATTGCATCCTGACAGCAGATGAGGAAAAGGACAGGATGAATTCATGAACCACAGCAAAAACCACCACAGCAAGGGAGCCTTCCCCCTTCCCCGCTGCCTTCACACCCACCCCTCCTCTCCCATCTTTCATCTGCTCCAGGGCACAAAACATGCATTTTGCTTTGCACTGGGTGCCCTTGTGGGGCAACCAGCAACTTGGGGATAGGAATTTCAAACTGCCAAACTACCAATCCCAACTGGGCCTACATGGCTTAAAACCCAAATGAGAACCTACAAAAAGACATTCTGTGCCCATCTCTAGTCTTTCGTGAGTCCAAGTTTGAGGTCAGTCCTAGGATTAAGCTGAGCAAGAGAGCCTTAAGAAGCATGTTTGGAACAGTTTGTCAGCACAAACTTGTCAAGCACAATTATATCTTCTACTGTTTTCAAGTAAGAATCAGAAAAGCCATGACACTTGACCTCACTGAGGTTCTCTAAGTCCCACCTCAGTTTGCCTCATCCCTATTCCAAAATGCAAGCCTGGGCGAGGGCCAGTCCTTAACAGAGAAAGAAGATTCTTCCCCAGTGACTTACTGGAACTCTGCAAAAGCGTCCAGGAGGTGCTCAGTCTTGAGCAAGGGTGAAAACTCATAGATCTCCAGCACATGTCCAAAATCGCCCTCGTTGATCTGTGCCTCTCCATAGCTAGAATAATCAAACTGGATTTTCTCAATGCTTATGTCCTTTATCGTCAAATAATTTGTGATCTGGAAAAAGAGAGGGTGGGCGATGGCCAGAATGAGGAATGTTTGCATGTACAGAATGAGAAGCAACCGTACGTCAGACACAAGAAACGACCGTCCACCACATCAACAGAAACCGCTTGCAAAGTTTATCCAGGACTGCATCAGTTCGAGCTACATAGGGATGGTTCCCAACCAAAACTAGAGTATTCAAAAGGATCCAGGTGAGCATTTCTTCAGTATGCTTCATCCTACATAGTTTAAGAATTATATATGTATGACTGCCCATCAACAAATTTTGCTGGGCTGCTTATGTCCACGGGAGGATTACCTTTTCCACTGGAGGAGCATTAGAATACGCAAGATTCCACCAGTGGCATCAAATAGTAGAGTCCAGGAAACTGAATTCCACCATGCAAAACCGCTCTTAGTTTAGTGAAACCAACAGCAGCTTCATGTATGTGTTTCAGCGGATTCTGATTTCCAGAAACTCCCGTGTTAGAACCTGGTCAGCCCATTATTAAACTTGAGAACCTGGAACACCACCTTGGACCTCGGACTGCCTAGCCTGGTTTTATCATCAGCAGTGAGTAGCAGCAGCTCTGCAGGCAGAAAGCTTTCCGTGCCCAACGTGGAGATGTTGGGAATTCAATCTGGGGCTGTCTGCACACCAAGCAGGCGCTCCTCCCAGGGGGCTGCAGCCCCCTGGAATTTGGAGAGGGGCCACGGCTCCAGGACAGAGCATCTGGTCAGCAAGTGCGAGGTCCTGGGTTCAGGCAAAGCCAGGTAAAAAGGAACAGGCACAGGTAATGAACCAGCCCGTGAGAAACCCTGCCTCCTGGTCCTTAGGAATATAACTCCCATCAGCCCCAGGCAACATGGCCAACAGCCAGGGATGATGGGAGCTGGAAATAAAAAACAACAGGAAGAATATTTTTCTCCCCTCTCCAATGCTACTGATAAAGCAAAGGCGGGGAACTGCTTTCTGCTAACGGCTGCACTTTATGGGGGGGTCATCTGCTGAGAGCTTCACCAGCCTGCATGGGGGAAAGTCAGGGCCAAACGGAGATGGGCCTCCCCAATTTTCTTTCAAAATGATGCTGCACTAGGCATCTCGCTAGCTTTAGCCTTAGGTGTTTTTTTCTTTAATCGCTCATCTTTGAATGAAGCAAATCTACAGGGCTGTTCACATATAATGGCAACAAATCATGGATTGATTAAATGACCCACAATTTGCCACAGGGCTCGCTGCACTGAGAATGTTCTGCAGCTTTCTGAATAGACTCCCACTATTGTGTCAATTAGGACCTGCTACATGACATCCAAACCTGGATGATGTGGGCTGATTGTGGGTTAAACAAGACAACAGTTAACCACTACTGATACAGTTACTTAACCCACAATTAAACTCGTAGTGCCTACCTATCTGACTCCCTGGGCTTGGCTTCCTGAACTCCGGTCCATCTTGCAGCAGCCCAGAGTCCAAGTTCCTGGCAAGCACACCCAGCACTGAACGGCACTCCCAGAAATCAAGCCCCCTCCCCTCATTCCAACACACCTTCCAGTTCTTGAAGCTACTCCATCCCACTGGAGATCTGGGCCTGACTAGGCTTCCACTGGCAAAGATGCCCGGAGGTAACAGAAGCCCTCCGACACACCTGGAAAGCACCCGACCAAGGAAGGCTGTCTGAAACCATAAAATGGGGAGGGAAACCTCAGGCTGGTGGGCTCAATCTGGCACTCCTGGGGTCTCCATCCAAGCCCCCATGTCTCCTCTTCCCCGGTCACCAATAATTCAGTAGTTTCCCAGCTTTTGTACCTTCTCTCCCAGTATTTAAAATTCAAAATGCCTCTCCAAAGGCTTCGCTTCTGGCAGTAAGAGCTTTACGATACAATTTTATTTTATTTTATTGTTTATTTATTTGTTTGTTTGTTTGTTTGTTTGCTTTAACCACCTCATACCAGCGTCTGTTTGGATGTGGAGTGCAAGAGATGCACTGGAAATCCAGTAAATCTTTTACTGTAAACTCTAAAAAGAAAAAATGCCAGTTTTGCTGCTATCTCAGCCCTGCCCCTTTCGCCTTTGACTGTGGCACATCAGCATATGGCCGTCCCCAGCAAAGCTGGACTCAGCCCCAGGCTGGATGAGGCTCCCAGTCTGCCACAGAAGAAGGGGAACGCCTGACTTGAAAGGGAGGACGAACGGAAGACGCACACGACTCTGAGTCTCCAGCACACACAGGTCAGCACTGCACCAGAACGGGGCACCTGGAAAGAAATGGACGGATTGAGCTGTTACCTCTTGCAAGAGTTCGGCACCGCAGTCCTCTTCAAAGAAGCGGTCTTTTTCTTCTGCCATGGCACTGCCCATGGGCCTGTCCCCGGCAGAAAACTCCAGCCCAGACCACCGATCACCTTCCGGGTGGCCTGCCTCCCCTTCGTGGCTTGGAAGTACCAGGTGGGCTTTGCCAGGATCAGAAGCAAAGGTGTTCACATAGGGTGGAGCCAGAGGATTGAGGGCGGGGGGATCTTTGCAGCCTCCCAGGGCAGGGGACGCCTGCCCCAAAACAAGGCTGCAAGTGCTGCTTTGGTCCTGCAGGTCCCCGTGGGCTTCCAAGGGCGATGCAGCCGTGCCATCTTTATCCTGAACTTCCCCCACTGTCCTTCCCAGGAGGCAGGGGGATGTGGCAGCCTCCACAGAACCCTTTTCAAGCGAGGGCAGCACCTTGCTCTGTTCTGCTCCGCTGCAAGAGATACAGTCCTTATTTTGGCCTTCCGACAGGCACGGATCCTGACAAGGTTCCGGCCGAACGGCGCTGGTAACATCCTTGCCACAGTCTTCAGGCAGGGGCAGGGGAGTGCTGCTTTCTGCCCCGGGGGCATCCCAGCCCCAGCTTCCCTGGTCCTCCCGAGCAGTACTCAGTTCTGCAGGGATGCCATCCGGAGCAACACCACTGCCGCCTTCCGGGGAAAGGAGATGGCAGCTCACTGTGGGCAGTGCCTGGTTAGGACTCCCTTCTTCCTGCTTTTCTTGAAGGTCCAAGGTCTCACAACATGCCGAGATGGAAGCATCTGCCCCACCGGGAGGCTGGCTTCCCAAAACCACCAGGCTGGCACTGCCCTCTGGGGCCGAGGTGGCTTGCTGAGCCTCGCTGAGGCCTTCCTCTTCCAGCCTGGGTATGCAGCCCAACACAGCGGAGGCCAGGTGCTCGGCGGTTCCCTCGCCGCTTTCATTCTCGGGCCCCGTATTATCTGTATGCATCGCCCCGGAGCTCTTGGCCTCCACACCAGGATCGCTGCTGGCAGGTGACGAGCCGCCGTCCGCAAGCCTTTCCCTGCCATTGGCAGCACTGGCCACGGGCTGCCCATCCTCGGCTGCTCCCGATCCCTGCAACTCGCCTCCCAAGGGATCCAGGGGCCCTTCCTCTGTCACGCCCTCAGGCTTCTTCCGCATCGCCCTCGGGACATACAGTGCTCGGTCGGGCTTCTTCCGGGGCTGCCTCCGGCCCAGAGCATTCCCCCTCCGGGCTGGAGCGCCGGCGGCCGGCGGCTCCACGCGACGAGCCCCGCCGCGGGACCGGCCTCCTCGGCTTCTTGGATGGGCGGGATGGCCTGAACCGGAAGTGCTGGCACAGGAGGCATCCTGATCCTCCGGCTCATCCGGTAACCTAACCCCGAGAGAGGGGGAAAGAGAGCAAAGAGCTAAGAAAAAGGCAGAAATGATGCACAAAGTAAATTCCAGCTGAGCAATGCCAGTTCAGACAGTGTGTCTCTGGGGTCAAGTACGCAAGCATCAGGACAGTTCTGCAAAATAACATTGAGTTTCTTTTTATTCTCCCTTTTTATTCTCCCTGCTATCTTGAGTCTGAGTCACACACCTACCAAGCTGAGATGTTATAGTCCCTCTATTTCAGGAACAACTTGGAAATTGCAAAGCAGGGCACTGAAGTACTGGGAAAAAAAGAAAAGAAAAGAAAAGAAAAGAAAAGGGAAAGATGTACTGTTCTGGGTCTTTTTTTCCCTTTTAAATGAAGGGCAATAAATAAATCCTCTGAATCAAGGACAGGCAAGTTGGTGCCCACCAGATCTTTTGAACTACAACTCCCATAATCCCCAACTATTGGACCCGATAGCTTAATTTTCAATATGTGAAAGAAAACAATGGAGATGGAACATTACAGAATTAATAACAAATTTATTCGCTAACAAAATTACCTTCCAATTCTTTGCTGTTAGATTAATGATAGCAAAGAATCGGAAGGTAAACTAATGTGTTTGTTATGTCTTAATATGCTTAATGGATTGTAAGCCACCTAGGAAGGCCTCATCAGTTAAGGGCAGCCTATAAATATGTGGGTGGGTGGGACTCATGTCAGCTGTAGTCCAAAGCATCTGGTGAGCAGCAAATCACCCACTCTACCTCTAAGCTAGTGGTAAACCATACAATACTGCGGGGGCTCAACAGGCAGGAGCTTTTCAGTGGTGACACCCTAGGCTCTGAAACTCCCCACCTACTGAAATACACATAGCCTCAACTTAAACTATCTCAAGAAGTCTTTGAAAATTCATCCTTTTCAGCTGGCACTGGATTTTCACTGCTGCAAGTTAAAATTGTGTTTTCTTTCTCTATCCTACCCTTGAAAAGTCTCATTTTACTTGGCATCATTTTGCATTTCAATTAATTGGGTGCTGCTGTTTTGCAATTGTTTGGCCAATTTGGCTTTTTATATTGTCCCATACAAATTTGCCTCATGCAAACCTCCAAACATTCTGTGGTTGGGAAAAAGGGAATGGGCCCTGGGAAGGAGGTGCGCCATATTATTTGTTTTTCGGCGCCAGGTGAAGACCTTTTTATTTAAACGTCATTTTAATTGTTAACAATATTTGCTTATTTATCTTGCAATGGCGACTTCTTTTATATTTTATTTTTTTTATATTGTTAATTTTAATTTTATATTGTTATTTTTGTATTTTATTGTGTTGTAAGCCGCCCCGAGGCTTCGGCAAGGGGCAGCATAGAAATGTTTTAATAAATAAATAAATAAATAAATAAAATATGAGGAACCCCCACAGGCCAGACTGAGGTTCCAAGTGGGTCAAATTTGGCCTCAGATCTGAGGTTCCGTACCACAATTTACTGACTGGTAGACAGACAGGCATAGACACACACACCAAAAGAGAGAACATAAATAAATTGGCTATCCCCTGTCTCTTTTTCCTAAGGGACAAACAATCAGCGAACCTAAAGTAGCAACCCGAGGGGAAGGTCAGGCAGCAACTCCTGCTTCTATGTATTTGCCAGGGATGGAGATTAAAAGCACGGCCCTGTGCAAGCCTGACAGAAGACCGACCATGAACTCCATGCTGGCAGTGGCAGGCCTTTTTCTGCCTGTGTATGCAAAGGATTTAACTTCAAGGTTTCTGGTATCTGAGCCAGGTGCTTGTGTGTGCCAGCTGCCAGAACTCTGTGCTCATGGCATCCTCACGGACTTCCCACTGCAGCATCGGCTACCACCAGGCAAACACGATGCAGGAATGGACAGGAATGCATGACTGCAGCGGTCAGAAGAGCCCGGCTCGTGTGCTGCGGACTCTGGACAGCCTGGGCCAAAAGTGAGCCGTGAGGAAGGGGAGAGCCCAACCTGATCGCTGAGTGGCAGACCACGGTCCTCCTCCTCCATCCTTCTCCGACAGAAAAGCTGCTTAAGAGGTCCACATCATCGACAGTCCGATGGATCAGATACCTGAGGCGACTAGACAACGGGGGGAACAAGAGGACTCTGAAAGAGAAGACAAGCAGCAGCTGTCAGTATCCAACAGTCAAATGTCACTCGCAGTAATTCCAACACGGATTGGCAGCAGCTCCGGCCTAACTTGGAGATGTCAAGGTTTGAACCTGGGACTTCCGCATGTAAAGCAGGGACTCTGTCACTGAACTCCTTTCCCCAATTTTCCGATGTGTAGGCTAAAAAATAAAAGCTGATGTGCTGTTGCAGGTTCTTTTTGGTGGGGGGAGCTGCCCGTGCAGGTTATCCACTGAGTATTCAGGGAAACAGGTACACTTTTTGCAAATGCACCCAGGAAGGAACATGTTCACAATACTTAAACTAGCATTTCCTTCATCTGCTTCTCCTGACTCTTCCCTAAAGGTGGGTAGCACATGAGCTACATCCCAGCTCTCCTGCAGGCTAAACTGGAGTTCAGGCAGGATTCAGCAACTGATCGCTTCACCACGGACCCAGCACACACGTCCCTCCACCACGGTGGGAGGCCTCTTACTTCTCCAGCTGGTTTTGCAGTAAGAAATGGTCCAGCTCCTCCACAATCTTGCTGACAAAGTCATTCTCCGTGGGGGAGAGGAAGACGCCGTCCAAGCAACGTAGCGCCAGGGTGCCGGTGGGGTGGTGGCCTGCAAGAAGAGAATAATGTACTGCTGGTCACCTGGCCAGCCAAAATACCCCAGATACAGACAATTCGCCAGCCTTTATATGCAAATCATCATCATCATTTCTTTTTTTGCCATCCAGCAGCCAAAGCTCTCTGAATGGTTTACAACAGTGCATAAAAACAATACAATCAAAATATAATAAAGCCATGAAATCTTATTTAAAAATTGAAATCTTATTTAAAACAGCAAAAAAAAATCCAGTGAAGAGTAACCCCACAAAAGAAAAGCACCTGGAGAACCAAGTAGACCTTTAAAAGCCTTGGCATAAAAGGCCATCTTAACTTAGCGCCAAAAAACGACCAAGGGAGCTTGGGACCAGGTGGGCTGCATGGGGAAGTCATTCTATCCATGGAGGGTCCCCTCAGGAAAAGCCCTCCCTTTCTCCAAGCTGTCATCCTTCAAGGTAAACATTATCAGAAAAATTAAGACTATTTAAACATCAAGAGGTCTGACAGTATTAATAGTAACAATAATTAGCAAAGCGTTGCCATGAAAAAATTAAAATTGAAATTATTTGATTTTTTAAAAATTAAATTATACAGTCGATCAATGTTGGGTAAGCTGTCTGTAAGTACAACCAATTCATCCCTTTGACTTTTATCTCCTGGAACATCAAGGAGTTGCAAGGTGGTGCGGTGGTGTTTTTGTGTGTGTTTGTTTCTTTACAAGCAACTAAAGAAATGCAATTACATGGGTTTTTAAAGGCAGTTGTACAAAGCAAGCGGCCCAGTTTCTCCAAGCATCTATCACTGAGCAATCACCAAGACTGCATCATGATCAAATAATCCTGGAGATGAAGTAGCAACACCGGAAGGGTCCACCGGCCAAAAACCCAGGACAAAGCGGGGCGCTGGGGAGACAAAGGCAGCGGAGGAGAGTGATGGAGGCACAACCAAATCCTGCATCCGTGTGAAGGGGCCGCAAGCGGTACCCTCCTGAACGGGCAGGACCCCTCCGAGGCGGCAGGCATGGAGCCACGGAGCATGACGCATGCTTAGCGGGGAGGCCGGTGCTCCAGCAAATGCGGGCTCGCTGCCCACGGAAACGGCGCAGGGCAGGATCGCCTGCCCCGCCGGAGCCGCGCCAGCGCGCCCGACAGCAGGCGCGTCTCCTCCGCGGCCGCTCCCAAGGATGCGCGCCCCGGGGCCAGCGCGCTCCGCCGGCGACGGGTCGCCCCCGCGGCTCGCGCCCGCGCAGCAGCGCCCCCGCCTCTCCTCGACCTTTTTCCGAGCCGAGGCGGCCCGGGGACCTGGAGCGAAGCCGGCAGGCGCGGCCCGCCCCCCGGGGCGGCCTCCAGCAGGCGAGCGCTGCAGCCGGCAACGCGCCGCGGGACGCCCCGCCGCCAGCCAGCCAGCCACCCCGCTCGCCCCCGCACGTACCGCAAGGCCCGGCCTGGAACGGCTCCCGCGGGCGGGCGGGCGGAGCACCCGCTTCCTTTCCCGGCAGCGGGAACGCGGCTACGCGGCGACTCCGCCTCCGCTCTCCCGGCTGCGGCGCTCGGGCGGCTCCGCCCCTTCGTCGCCGCGGCGCCCGGCCGCCTCCCACGTGGCCGCGGCCGCCGCCGCCTCCCAGTGGAATCGGGCCCACGCCGGGCGCAAGAGGCGCGCAGGGGACGCGCGCTCCGCCTCCCTCCCGCTTCCCTAACGGCGCCCGCCGCTCTGCGCCTGCCCGCGGAATGGTGCTGGAGGGGCGCAGAGCAGCTTTCAGAAAAGCAGGACCCCTTTTGTCCCCAATTTCCTTTTAAAAAACGGCAACGCTGAAAAGAGAACCGGTCACCGACTGCGGCTCGGCTCGGCTCGGCAGACCCGGATTCTAGTGACGCATGGCCTATCCTACCTCATAGGGTTGGTGTGAGGATAACGTGGCGAGGAGGATTATGCAAACTGCGTTCAGTCCTTACAGGAAAGAAGGCGGTTTATCAATATTAATAAACTTTTTAAAGGCCCACTCAATCCCCCACTATTATTTATATCCAAGGGTAGAGCTAATTTGCCCAATTCATTTCAATGAGTCTAGGTACGTGTAATATTGCTACAATGCTTTATTGAGTCGTAGTTTTCTGTTTTTTATTACTATTATTTAAGATATTTGTATACTGCACCATAACTAGGCAGATTCTGGAGAGGAGAGTAATTGAAAGGTAGAACAGGTTAAAAAATTAATAATGTATTAAAAACAGGGTAACATTAAAAACATGGGGGAAAAGGCTTTCTGGAACAAATGCCTCCAGCAGGGACTAAAAGGCACAATTTTCTGCCTGACCTTCAGAGATGGAACCACCACAACAAAGCTCCTCTGGTGGCCTCCAGTCCTTGCATCATGTGGGACCACCTGGAGAATATCCGACAACCTCCCTGACAGGTTTGTTGTATTCTGGTCCCAAGTTCTTCAACCTGACACGCAACAAATAGGCAGCCATTGCACTGCTTCAGCAAGGGGGCTGTCCTCGTTATTTCTACATGCTGACAAGAAGTACTGTATTTTTCGCTCTATAAGACGCACTTTTCCCCCCTCAAAAGTAAGGGGAAATGTCCGTGCGTCTTATAGAGCGAATGTGTGTGTGCAGTAAGTCTGTCCCGATGTGCAGCATGGTGTGCCCGACACCCGGGACATGCAAGACCACCGCCAGGACGCTGCCGGCCCACCTGCACCACGTGGCACCACCTGGCCAGCACGTGCTCGGCACGCCCTGCTCCGCCCCCCCCCCCAGCACAGGTGAGAGCTGTGCTGCTCAGGGGGAGGGGTGCGGAGGAGGAGGAGCCGTGGGCTTTAACCCACCGGCCACGGCCGAGCCGGCCGCACGGAGAGACGGACTGGGACGGGCTGCCCACCCCCACTGCGCAGGAAGACCCGCCACCACCGCCCGGAAGACCACTGTTGGGACGCTGCCGGCCCGCCTGCACCACCTGGCAGGCATGCACTTGGCACACCCTGCTCCGCCACCCCGGCGCAGGTGAGCTTCCTGATAATCACAGGTCGGTGTGTGTTTTCAAATGGCAACCCGTCTTTTAATGAAGCCCATGGGGAAGTGATGGGGAATGTGCCTGTGATTATCAGGAAGCTTTCCATGGATCAGCACAGTTTAGTAAACCATTTGATTCAGAATATTTTTTTCTTGTTTTCCTCCTCTAAAAACTAGGTGCGTCTTATGGTCAGGTGCGTCTTACAGAGCGAAAAATACGGTAGCTCCCAGCAATTAATAAGCTCTGGAACAGCCCTCAGGGCAGCAGTTACCACTGTGGCCAAAACAGTCCTGTTCAAGAGGCCGCAGCTGGTGAACCGATTTAGAGTTGGCCAAAGGCATTCCAAGCCATCACAGTCACCTGGGACTCCAGCAGCAGCGATGGATCCAGGGGTACTCCTGGATTACGAACCTAATCTTTTGGAGGGTGTGGAATCCACCCAGAACAGGCAAAGGGGTTGCCTCCTAGGCTGGGAAGCCTTCACCCATAGGGCTTCCATCTTGCCAGGACTCCGCTTCTGCTCATTGGCCCTCACCCGCCTATCACTGCACTCGGACATTGATCTAGGTCCTTCTCAGCCTCCCTGAATCAGAGGTTGAAGGGAGATAGACCTGTGTTAATGCACTTGGCTCCAAATCCCTTAACGACCACTGCCAGCTACTTCATATAGAAATTAAACAACACTCTGGACAAGACAGTACCCTGTGGAAGCCACATCTCATTTGCCCAGGCTCAAAGGAGTAGTTATCCAGTGTGACCATCTGGTATCAACCTCACAGGTAACACAGTGGTTCCAACGCCCAACTTAGGGGGTAACGGAAACAAGCGCAGATGAGAGAGGATTGCATTCCACGTCTCTCTCTGGATGAAGGTCATCCCTCAGGGTGACCAAGGCTAAATGAGTCCCATAACCAGCCAAACTGGAAATGAGTTTAAATAATTAATAGTCTCCACAAACGTTACTTTATGTAATTGTCTGCTGCAACTATAAAAAAGTGAAAGAAAAGTGACCCAGTGTGTCCCTGTGCAGGTGTTACTGAACTTTTAGCATTAATACATTAATAGCTCCCTTTCTGAGAAAACTTACTTGTTCTTGACAGGAGGGTATTCCCGGAAGCTGTCTGAGTTATCTTGGGTCAAGGCACCTAGAATCTTCCTTCATTCCAGAATACCCCATTGTCTGTCTTAAAGGGGCCACAACAGCCTGCTAACCCTACTCCTGCCAAGTCACAGGAGCGATTGCACTCAGTTGTCCTTCTCCGGGAGCTCCTGCCAACAGAAATCAAGTGGGCATTTACTAAGAAATGGACTTTTTCAGCTGTGGCAGCCCAGCTTTGGCAGAAGACGCGCATCTGGTGCCTACATTGTGCTTCCCCCAGTCCCAGGGGGAGACCTCTTTCTTTTCCCATGCAATTTATTTCTGTTACCATATTTCAAATCTTTGGATGGCCACTAGGTTTTCCTTTGGTTTGCAATTCTAGTTTATACTGCAGCTTTAAAGGTTTGCACTTTTGCAGTGCGTCTTAAGTTGCGTTTTATGCTTTTAACTGTTGTGCACTGCCCAGAAAGCTTTGTCTATTGAGCAGCATAGAAATGCAATAGATAGATATTAGGGATTTGCAAGGGCCATGTGAACAGACCAGGATTAACACTAGATGGCACTTGAGCTAAACAGTTTGCAGGCTGTTGCTCCGAGGAGAGATGCTCTTTATCTTCCCACTGAGTCAGGGGTGCAAGTAAACAGGCAGGAAGTGACGGGTACGGAATGTTGCCAAACATTTCTGCAGTTCTGTGTGCAATGCATTTTAACGTCCCAGGGACTGCCCCTGGGACACTGCTGATTGCTGGGAAATGATCCCTTGTCCCACCCAGGTCACAATGTGTCACATCCAACGGGCAAATTACTTAAGGCAGCTCCGGAAGGAAACCTGTTATAGCCCAGTGCCGTGGCTGATCAGCCCAAGATCTATTTAGTCAGGGATGGCATCTAAGTTAGGACCTGCATCCCAGAAGGGCCCAGTGACAACAACCCCTGGAGTTGCTCCTCTTCCTCTTCAACACTGTGACCTGTTTGGCCACCTGACCCCCCATCATTCTGGCTGGTGCTGGTGAGGAGAAGCAGAAGATGCTGGTCCCCACCAGCTTCCTGGCTGTCTGCCTGCCAGGCAAGCCTGTGGTCTCTCATTGGTGAGAAAGAGGACAACAGGCAACAGACTATGGTGGCGAGAAAGTAATTTCACAGATGGCTGCAGCCATTCCGCTCTCTGATGTCCTCCCCACCTGAGAAGGTTTCTGGTAGGGCAGCTCCTGCACCCTCTGGCAGCTGTTTATGGGGTTGATGAATGCCAGGTCAGGTTGTAGCAAGACCTCACTCATTCATGATATGATCATGGATAAGGAAACTGACCTGGTGTGCCTCACAGAGAGTTGGGTGGGGTAGACATCACTCAGCTTTGCCCAGGAAGTTACCTGGGGCAGCACCAGGCTGGAGAGATACACAGGCGGAGGTCACCATGAGCCACAAAAGCCCAAACTCACCAGGAAGCTCCTCTATTCTGGGACCACTTTTGAGGGCCTGTACTTACTTATTTGTTTATGTGAAGCATTTTATCCTGTCCTTTACAGGAGATTCAGGATGGCAATACAAAGCAAAGTGGCAGCATACAATAAAGCATAAATCTAATAAAACCCAACTGGCTTCCAGTTGATGTCCAGGCCCAATTCAGGGTGCTGGTTTTGACCTATAAAGCCCTAAATGGCTTGGGACCAGGATACCTGAAGGAATGTCTCCTTCCTTATGTGCCCTCACACCCCTTAAGATCTATGGGAGAAGCCCTGCTCCAGGAACCCTCTCTAAGAGAGGTAAAAAGGTCATCAACGCGGAGTAGGGCCTTCTCTGCTGTGGCGGCCAGACTCTGGAATGTCCTCCCCAGAGAGGTAAGCCTGGCGCCAAGTTTATACTTTTTTCAGTGCCAGGCCAAAATCTTTTTATTTAAACAGTATTTTAAACTTTAATAGCTTTTAAGTTGAGTCGCTCTGTTTGTTTTGTGATTTATTGTTTTGTTCTGTTTTATTATTAATTGAAATTGTTGTTTTAATTCTCTTTTTAAATATTGTAAGCCGTCTTGAGAACTTGTGTGATAGGATGGCATACAAAAGCTTTTAACAAATAAATAGTAAAATCACAATTGCTGGGAACAATTGATGGCAAAAGGAGGAGGGGATGGCAGAGGATGAGGTGGCTGGATGGGTCACTGGAGAGGTGGGTGTGGGCTTGGGTGCACTCCAGGGGGTGGTGGAGGGCAGGAGAGCCTGAAGGAAAGTTGTCCATGGGGTTGGCGTTGCAATGGGTTGGGCATGACTTCGCAAATAACATAACATAATAAAGCACATCTCCCCATTATATGGGAGACTGCAGCCAAGGAGGCATGTCTGCTGACCAACTGCTAATTTCAAGACCGCAACCCTGCTTTCTCATGGCCCTTTATCTTTAAACAGGCATTGGACTGCACTGCCATTCAATGGGGGATGGTCCCCTGGCCATCTGGCAAATGGAGGACTGTCATCTGCCAAAGAGGACACCTGGCCACTGAGGTCCCCAGCTATGTTCTGCGCCACTCACACAATCCCAAACAGAACTGCAGTCAGGTACTCTTTCTTCCACAGCCCTTGCCTCTGGCATCGTTCGGCCCTGGGGAAATGTCTTCCTCCACAGAGGGTTAAATCTCTCTGCCATTTCCATCTCCCTGAACTGATTCTGATTGCTGGGAATTAGCATACAGATTGAGAAGACCAGGCCCTGATTGCACAAGAGTCTGGCTTCAAGTGGCCAAGCAGGCGGCTTTCCTTGGGCGATGCAGCCATTTCCTTGCCTGCACCCTTCCTCCCACCTTGCTGCCTCTGATGAGAATAACCTCTAATGACTCCAATTTGGAAAGGAAACTGGGAGGAATAATGAATCGGATCAGGCTGCCTTCCGCAGGCCCCCTCTGCTCCCTTCCCTCACGAGGATGAGGCCTCAAGCGCATGGGCTTTCGCATCCCTCACCCTGCTCTCCCTCCACCCCTGCTTGCCCCTTCCCATCCCTACCAAGCCCCCTCTTCCTGAGGTGCTAGTTAGGGAACCTTTCCTGGCCAATCAGTTGCATGAGCTACCGACTGTCTTCATTCCACTTGCCAAGAGAGGCAGTTCACACATCACAGCAGCAATTCTCGGGTTGTTTAACCCAGGAACTTCAAAGATGACTGGAGAGCACCAACCACAGGCTTGTCAACCTTGCTTTTAATTAATTACTCAGGAATGCTGTTATGGAAGGGATGACTGTGGACTCCCCAAAATGGGAGGCTCTCTTGGGCCCAAAGTATTGTTCAAACTACTGCGGATATACCCTTCTTGGGCAATGGCTTGAATGGACATTAGCTAAGAAATGCCATTCTTGGATGCCTGTATTAAGATGGATTAGCAGAAGACATTGTGAAAACAAGTTAAGTGTCCCTAGAAGTACTCCAAAAGTATGGCAAATACGGCCAAATGGTTGTGCAAAACCTGCGAGGGTGGCACGAAGGCATCAAGCACCAGCTACCAGGAGCTGAGAATCCCCTGCCCCGTTCATGAGATAAGGATGCTTCTGTTGAAGTTAACTGGGATGGCTCAGCTTGCTTCCTTCGTCTCCCCCTGCAGGGAGGCGAGCTGGCAGCATCTGGAAGAAAGAGGAAGGAACTGCATAAAACTGGCCACCCAGACAGCAGGATGCTAGTGGGTGGCTTTCAAGCAAAGGCAATAAGTAAATAATGCCAGTGGCCAGGCCACTGTTCTTTGGCCTTTTGCTTGCATTTCAGGAGCATGTAAGTAACTCATTTATTCATGTCATTTCTACACTGCCCAATAGCCAGAAGGCTCTCTCATCCCCCTGGAGTAGCACAGGTGACATCAAGAAGCTCCTTGGCGAAGGAGATGCCTATGCATGTGCTCATTGCACTTGCGCAAATTTGGTTTTAAATGCAGCTTTTAAATCTTGTACTGCAATTTTGTTTTACTGCTCTTTGTCTTTTTATATTCTATCATTATATTTTATGTGCTTTTGTGAACTGCCTGGAGAAGTCTGGCTATTAGGTAGTACAGAGAGGAAGAGGAATTATAATTCTGTAATTAGAACAATTGGCCTTTACTCATTTTTTATGCATTGTGATCATTTTTACTTATTAATTAGTATTATTAATTCATACTATTTATTATTTCCAAGGCAATGACTATGGCTTTTGGTCTGGTCAAGCATAAAGATTTTCCCAATTTCAGGGATAGCTCCATTCAGGCTGTAGAAAATCAGCTTTCTAGTCCTCAGGAACAGCCTCTACAGAGAGAGGATATTCTCCAACTCAGAGCATTGCCTTCCAGTGATTTCTTGATCCCATGTGGATCCATTGATTTTATGATCTATTGTGATGGAAATGCATATGGTGGGGGTGCAGCTTGAATGCCTTTTCTACACCTTTTACAAATGCACGAAAAAAGTTAGTGTGCTGTTTAGGAGAGCAGGAGGTAAAATACTGTCCTAGGTTTCACACAAGATGCCGAGCAAAAAGGACATGTACCATGGGATGGCGATGGTACAGGAAGCACTCCTTTTTGTGCCAAGACCACCATGCAAACAGGATTCAGTTTGACACCAAAAAAGGAGGGTTGCTTCTAGCAGACATCCATCCGTGCAGCCATTCTGCAAATTTCCCATCAAGTCTCTTTCCTTGCTGCAGGGCTGTCTTTGCAGCTGAAGGCAGGATGCCTTTTTCCTGCTCCTCCAAGAGGTCCCTTATTTCCATTTAAATCAAGGCTCTGACAGTTGTTTCCTTCCAAGCCACCTGTGAGATTCCACTCAGCCAGTACTAGTTTCACCCACTTAAGCAGTGCCCGTGAAGGCTTCTCCACCATCGTGAAGGGTGTCCTATTTTAAAACACATTGACTCCTCTGCAGTGGCGATGCTAGTGAAAGCTGATGGAGCCCAAACAGCTGGAAGGCCCTGAGTTTAGGCCACTCCTGGCCTAGACAATGCCTTCCAGCTGCATGATTATATGCCATAAGCAAGGAATATATGCATAAGAGCTCCAGAAATTAGGGAATCAAAATGTCAGATTCACTTTCTGAAAGTGATTATCAGATCTGTCAGCACGGCAGAACAGACATCAGGGTGGTCCCCACAGAGCGCCGGCAAAGTGCTTCCTTCCCCACACCCAAACACCCACGGAACAGCACCTTGACTGTAATTGGGGTGTATTTAGTCATTACAGTTACTCAGTAATTATCACCTTTTGATTTTTCTCTTTATGTTGAAGTTTGCCGGAAGGAGAAACTCAAAAAAGGGCAATAGCTATGCTAAGCAACTAGAGAGGTCCTACCACAACAGAGCAGGTTGTGAGAGCGATGAAGCTGAGCATGTGCCTTTCAAATACATGCACTTAGGGGGGTTTTTATAACTCAACCATGTCACTTTTACGATGAAATGATGGCAGCTGCCCTACCCCTTTCTCCCTCTTCATCTGCCACACAAAAGCTGTCAGACAGGATGAGAAGATGCAAAGAAGGACCCAGTTAAAAGTACCAGATACTAATTAAAAGCAACATTAAAAGTGATGGTTCTTGAATGGGCCAGTCCCCCACTGACCCTCCCTGGTGTTGGCCGTGCAAACCGGCCTCTCCCTGACTTGGTGCCTTCCAGATGTTTTAGACTACAACTTCCATCATCCCTGAACATCAACAGAGCAGCTTGTATTTTTGGATTCTCTTTGGCACTGTGGCTATGAGGACCATCTGAAGAAGCAGCAGTATGTCAAATGTTGCCATGGCTTATGTGACACATCCAGGGACAGAAGAACGCTCCTCCTCACTGCTTCATTATTTTCAAGGCAATGGCCTTTAAATCTTGAAAGCTTTAGCTGGAGGGCTTACCTTTGGGGAAAGGCCAGAGGTCATTGAGAAGAAGACACTTTGGCCTGTACCGCCCCTGGGTTCCAAGTGTGGCTAGGAAAGTCTCCTGCCTTAGCTTTTAGAGGAAGGATGGGAAGTGTGCCCCTCCAGATGTTGCTGCACTGCAGTTCCCATCACCTTAACCAGCAGAACCCATGGAGAGGGACCATCAGAAATAGCCACAGGTTGTCCAGCTCTGACACGGATTGCCATGTTTCAGTGGTCAGTGTTGGTACATGCCAAGGGCTTCCTGCAGTTCTTTCTTAAGTCTCCTTCATGTTACACGTCTGAAAAATACGTATACTTCCATATGCATGTCCATGCAAATCTCTCACGCTTACCTGAAAACCTGTTCTGGACTATGCGCATGTAGGGGAATCGGTACCAGACAGGAAACAAGGAAATGCAGCCACACGGGTTGTGCTAGTTGTAGGAGCATTTGCCTTTTGTGTGCAACTAAAAGCCATCAGCTGTGCGCTGGGAAAATTCTGAGGCCAGGCGTGTAACATAGCGGCAATGCTGGATTTTGCCCAGGGAGACTGTGGTCGAATCCAGACTCTGCCCGCATGTTTACTGGCTGAACCTGGGCGGAACATTCAGCCTAAGCTGCTTCTAAACTTTCACCCTGTCTTACTTTGCTAGTTTATTGTATGAATAAGAAGAGAAGCTGACATAAGGGGTGACAGAAGAGAGAGGGACAAAAGGAATTTCTTTTACAGAACATTTATTTTAATCAGGTGACATTCCTGCTTAATAGACCGTGTCAGTTATTAATCTAGGAACACGCACTAGGGCTTTGTAAGTAAACATTAAATCAGAGTGGCCCATTTCGGATGTAATGAGGAACATCAGTTTACATTTCAGCAGGATCGCAGTGCAAACGAAGCTCATGACCTCAGGGAGAGTGGGAAAACTCAGAATCCATTTCTGACAAACCATCAGAAAAGGGTCTTTGTCTTTTTGTATTTACCCCCAGAGAACTACATCTCTGCCACTTGTGTGTGTGTGTACTTGTACACCCACACACAATATACATGTCAGCCCTTCTGAACTGATACATACGTATGGAAATGTATTTCAGAAAATTTCAGAAAATAGAGGCAATTACTTCTAAATTTTACTGACTGGAATTTAAGAATGCATATCTAATCTTTCATATATGTTTATCTAAACTCTCTCTCACACACACACATACATTCATTATCTAAAATGAATTGGCTATTGCATGAAGCCAGGCAAATGAGATGCTCACTCACTCCGTAGCAGCTGGTGCCTTGTTCAACCCCTCACACCAAACAGGAAAGATCCTGCCACCAAGCCTTCCTTATCCTGATGTTTTGGGCTGCACCTCCCAGAAAATCTTGACCATCACTCATGTCGATTAGGACTACTGGAAGTTGAAGCCCAAACTATGTAGAGGGCCTCAAGCTGGGGAAGGCTGCCGTATCTTGTTCTCTCCTTGTTGTGTGCGCACACACAGAGAGACACATCATCTGCATACTTAGCAATATGATACATATAAATTGTTTTCCCATCAAAGCCTCCATCACTTTATCCCAAAAAGTTCCTTTTTCACCCATCCTTCTCCTTTCCATGCCTGCTAGTGAATTTTCACCCAGTGTGGAGAAAAAGCTCCTTGCAGTTCCCTTTTCGGTTCTGCATTGCCGTCCAGGGTCCTCTTTTAGTCCAATACACAAGAGGCGAAGGGAGCAAACTTCTCAAGGGATGCATCTGTCTCATACTCCATATGTACGACGGCTGATAAAATGGCTGTCGTGCCGTCGTGAGAGGTGTGGGAGATTTTGTCAAACGGGAGATCGTTGTCCTCCTCCCCTTGCAGGGAGGGTGCATGGGGGAGAAGGTGGGGGTAACTCAGAGTCCCCAAGTCTTTCTGGCAGGTGGTGTCATGATGGTACGAAACCATCTCGTTGCTGAAGTACACTGTCTCCACGGCGTTGCTGGAGCAGAAGCGGCCGCAGCCTAGGATGGTCGCAAAGGCCTTCCGGAAGTCAGTGTTGAAGGCATAGATGATGGGGTTGAGGGAAGAGTTCGCCCAGCCAAACCAAACGAAGATGTCGAAAACTGTGCCACTGACACAGGGCAGTTCCCCCAGCTCATGCAGGTCATGGTCACAGAAGGGTACGATGCAGTTGAGCACAAAGAAGGGAAGCCAGCAGAAGACGAAGACCCCCATTATGATGGAAAGGGTCTTGAGGACCTTGGTTTCTTTCCTGAAGGAATTCTTCAAGGAGACCTCGTGGGAACACTCATTGCCTTGGCAGCTCTGGGCATGTTCCACAGCTCTCTCAAGAGAGGAGATCCTCCGAATCTGCCGCTGAGCAATGTGGAAGATTCTGGTGTAGGTCACTACCATGATGGCGACGGGGATGTAGAAGCTGATGAGAGAGGAGGAAATGGCGTAGGTCCTGTTGAGGCTGGAGTCACAATTTTCCTCAGGGGTCCAGGTGGCGTTGGAGCCTGCCCCGTGGGCAGGAAGGAACTCTGCCGCCTTGTGCCACCTCAGCTGGACAGGGATGAATGAGATCAAGACAGAGAGCATCCAGGCCACGCCAATCATCATGAAAGCCACCCGCTGGGTCATCTTCCGCTCATAGCGGAAGGGGCTGGAGATGGCCCAGTAGCGGTCCATGCTGATGATACACAGGTTCAGGATGGACGCCGTGGAACACATGATGTCAAAGGCCACCCAGATGTCGCAGAAGTCCCCAAAGGGCCAAAAGCCCACTACTTCCGTGACTGCTTTCCAGGGCATCACCAGCACAGCCACAAAGAGGTCTGAAACGGCCAGGGAGATGACAAAGAAGTTGGTGACCTTGGAGCGGAGGTACCTGAATTTGACCACTGCCATGCACACAAGGGTGTTGCCCAGCAGAGTGGCGAGGATGAGGAGCAGCAAGGAAGCAGCCAACAGCGCCCGCACGGGGAACCCCACGTCGCCCTCTTCCACTCGGCCTCCCCTCATGAGGGTCTCGTTCGCCATGACCGAGGCACCCCCTCCTCTTCCTCCTCGCAGATGCAATCCGTCCATGTCTCCCTGTGGCCCTCACGTGGCCACAGGGCACCCTCCCGCTAGGTCTCCACCCGCCCACGGGCCTCCGTCGCCCTGCTCCGTCGCATCGTCCCTCGCAGCTCAGAGGCAGCTGCTCTCAGCTCCCAAGCCCCGGCATCTCAGTTGGTTCTCCAGCATTCAAGCAGCAGCGCTCACCCCTTCACTCCTTTGCAAGGTTCCTGACGGCAGGCTGACATTTCCCCCACCCACTTCGCTTCCCAGCCTGGCACTTCAGCACCCAGCCGGTTCTCACCTACTGTATTTTTTTGCAGGCAGGGTCCGTAACACGAGGCTCCTTTCTCTTTTTCAGACGCTCCTTTCAGAAGCAAGCTTTTGTGCTCTGGCTGGGATGGGATGGGGCTTGCTTTGGAAAGGCACACGGACCTGGGCTTTCTCCTCCGCCCTCCCTGCAAGATGCTCTTTCTGCATTTGAGCTCCCCGCCGCTGCTGGCTTGCCAAGACTTGCGCTCAGGTGAGAGACTTCCCTTCTTCCTGCGTCCCTCTTTCTGAAGAAGTGGCAGGCAATCCAGACCAAGTGCCTTGAGCAGAAGGGCTCACTGGGAGGAAAGAAGCGGGGACTGAGGCGAAGGAGCAAGAGGAAGAGCTCTCAAGAGTCTTTTATTTCATGGTAGGCAGGAGGGAGGGACGGGCAGGGACTGGGTGCCATTCCGCACTCAAGTGATGAGGAGGGGGGCTTGTCTTACTGTTCCTGCCAGCCCCTTACAAGCCTCTACAGGGCTATGGGGGCGGATGTGAGTTTTTCATTACAGGGGTCCCACCCTTTCTTTCCCCCACCCCTTAATTTGACTCAATGGCGTCCACTAGCAATAATCCTTTGAGTGAATATTTAAGATAATTCACATCAGGGGTGCAAAGTGTGCACAGACATGCACACCCAGGCCCAACAGAGCCTCTGCCCAGCTGCCCTGCAGTCTCCCATGAATTGCTCACCAAGGGAAGGTAGAGAGGACTTGTGTCGCCCATGTGAGGCTGGAGGGAAGAGTGGGCAAAAGCGGCTCTCCGTCTCCTTCTGCAGCTGCTCCCATCCCATGGAAGAGTCTGTCCGTGGTTCTCTGTCACGTTCTCTGGGACATGAGCGTATGCACGAGGGCATCTGCAAGCGTGGGTGTGCAATGCACGCACCCCAGTACATCGCCAGATGCCGTTGTGCCCCCCTGCTTCATACAGGTGAGCACAGAGAACAGCTCCTTGTTCCTAGCAGAATCGTTCCAGGCTAGCATCGAGGGCTGGGCACCTGCTGAAGGCCCCCTCTCCAGCATGGCCCCAGCACCTATTTGCTGAAAAATCAAAATGGCATTTGCCCTCCATTTGGAGTGCCCTGACCCTTCCCTTCTCTTTTAAGGCAAAGTGAAATGTAGGTAATTGTTCTTACCCTTCTGCTGTCGACAGAAGAAATCCTGCAGCCGCTTTTCGATGCTTCATTCCTGCAAGGAGAAAACGCACGCACTGGAAAGCTCGGGTGACAAGAATCCAGCCAGCTTCTAGAATGGCCTCAGCATTTCTGTGCGCATTGCAGAGCTGGGGATGCCAAACGAAACAGAAGAAAGCATAGATTCCTAAAATTCCTCCCCCTCAGAAAGGAAGAGCGTGCCCATATCGCATTGGATAAAGTGTGGATAAAGCAGAGACACGGCTATAAATACATTTTAGGAGGAGTTGCTTTATTCTGAGTCAGCCCCACCCAGGTCCATCCGGCCCATTATGCTGGACACGGACGGGCAGCTCCTCTCTGGGGATTCTGGCAGGAGAACCTTGCTCTACATGAGTGGCTCTCCCAGGTTTTGGGCAGGATTCTTACCATGCTTTTCCTGAAGATGCCCGAGACTGAAAACGAGCATCTAGATGAAATGCAAGGCACCAGCCACTGCATGAATCTTGCGCGTAAGCTGCCCATCAGTCTCTGTGTTTGAAGGCTTCTGTGCAATCAGGTGGAGGACATTGGACCTTGCTCTGAGGTTGCTTGTTGGTTTTAAAGAAAACACCCAGGGCAAACAAGTAGGCAACTTGATGTTGTTCGGCCTCAAGTTCATGGCTAAGGAGACATCCTTGCTGTGTTCTTTGCTGGAATCCCAGCTCTCAGTCTCAGTCCAAAATTGTTTTCTTGCCCTGTTTTCCACCAGCGCTACTAAAACCATTGACCTCAATTCAAGTGCAAGTTAGTCTTCAAATTAATGGCCCATAGCTATCCCCAATTTCAAGTAAGGTTCCAGCAGGGCCCAACGGGGTCTGCAAGGCTGGGTTTTGTACCGCAGAAAGCAGTGGAAATGAACTGGCATTCCTAAGGCATCTCGACTAGGCATGCTTCCCTCTATAGCAGGGGTCTCAAACGCAACTGACCTGGGGGCCGCTGGAAGTGGAGTCTGGGTGAGGCTGGGCCACATCAAGTATTCCACCACCGCAGTAGGGGTGGGCCGCTCATCCCACGTGGCTCCCGGAGGCCGGCCCGGGGGCCGCCGGCGCTTGGAAGGCCGCAGGGCCCCTCCCCGTGCCCCGCTCGTCCCGGCAAGTGGCCCGCAGGCCGCGAGTTTGAGACCCCTGATCTATAGCGATCCATTCTCAGGGTACCGTTTGAGCCTTTCATAGGTTGAGACAAGGTACCACAAAATGCTTCCTTCCTTTTCAAGACTTTACAAAAAGTCTGCATTCCAGTTTCATCCTTTCAAAGGGTGAAGTCTAATACAGATCAAGGCAGGGACTTCTTGATGGCAACACTGCTGTGGAATAGCCTCCCTCGGGAAGTCTGCCAAGCTGTCCCTTTGGCAAGTTGGATTTCTGTGAGAAGCTATATCCTGCCCTTCAGGAACTGGCACACCCTTTCAGGGCAGCTAGCAACCAATAAAACCAACCATACAATAGAGTAAAATCCTGCTATTCCAAAATAGTATTTAATAACAAACAGGAAGAGCCAATAAAACAGAGCAAAATGGCTCTCGCCCAGAAAGAAAGTCTGCTTGAGCGGGAACGTTTTTGTCTTCCAGATAACCAAGAATGGGCAAGTAGGTCTGAAGAGCGGCAGGATTTCGGTGTGGCCACAGAAGGAAGTTTTGTCTGCCCTCGGCGTCCGCTGAGCCTCACCACAATCAGGGCAGGGAATGGCCGCTCCATCAGATCTGAGGGTGGCAGGTTAGCCTGAGAGGGAGGGCTCGCCAAGCTATCCGGGACCATGCCGCTGCGGGGCGGAGCAGTGGCCCGTTGCCGACCTGGTGTAATACGAGCCTGCCATGCCAAAATGTTCTTGTTCTCCTCCGAGAAGTTTCCTGGTGTTAGCTTGTACTGAATACATTCCCGCAAGACACTCTGTGCGCTTTTATTGCAGAAAGGCAATACGTACAAATTGAAAGATAATATAAATACATTCTCCTTCCCAAGGGACAGATCAGCAAAGCCAGTGTCCTGGGAGGTTTCAAAGGCATCCCGCTCACCGAACTGTTCCATTTTCTATAATGGTACACTGAAAGAGAAATTCCTAGGTTTTCTTGGTAGGTACTAAAATGTTCCACCTGACTTCATGTTTAAAAAATGTGCTTTCTATTGCCTATGATTTGCTTTCCCTCACTCCTGTGAACAGCCAGGCAATTAGCAGATGGTGTTCTTTGGAATTCCCCGTGCAAAACAGCTCACCCGGCATCTAATTTTCTTTTCAGTGTCTGAGGGGGAAAGCCCATTTATTCTCCCAGGAGTTTAAAGTATTGATTGTCCTCAGCTGCAGCATTTAATTACTGTTCATTAGTGGTGTGTTATGTCATTGTGTGTAGATTTGCTTTGATTTTATGAGGTTTTTGGACTGTCCTGGAAGCTATTGGTTGAATGGCAGTATTCAAAAGGATCAACATTTTAAATCCGAGTAATTTGGTGCGTATGTGGCTCAGCACCTTTGTGTTCTTGGAGCCTGGCCTCCTTTTAAAATATTCGATCTGTCCTTGTTAGAATGCTCCCCTCCAGCACTTCTTTCTTCAGCTCTGCCAAGGCCCTTGCACCCCAACTGTTCCTGCCAGATCGATTATTCCCCCCTCCACATTACTAGTGTATTTTAACTATGCCCCCCATTTCAGTTTGCTATTTCTAAAGGTGCATTGCAAGATGCCGGCGTGCTGAGGGGTGACTGGGTCGCTTGGGCACATGGAAAAGGGGTGCTTCCCATGCTTGCATGCAATCACAATCACTTCTGTGCCAGTGCTATAACTAGGCAATGGCACCGATAGGAAAGTTGGGTGGTCTCTGCCAGATGCCAATTAAAGCCCTCCAAAGATGCAAGCTTAGCATTTTTCAGCTTTGCAAAACCATCAAGCTAGACCGCTAACTTTTCATATTCGTTCTATATTGAAACAGCTTTGCCAACAACTTTCAAATATTGATTGGATTATGCTGAGTTGGGAATTGGGTTTCCACACCTCCATGCCCCACATGATACACACAAGAGAACAGCATGTAGAATTCAGAGATGGTTGTGCTAATGCTACATTGTGAGATTAAAGTTTGCTGGTCACTGGATCTGCATGGAAAAAGTTTATCTCGGAAGAGAGCTGGTGCTAAGTGGGCATAAAAGCAGGGCACCAAGGACAAGAGCTTGCTGGAGCCACACCTCTTTTTCACCTGCTTCCTTCTCAGGTCTTGTTCTGATTCAGACACTTGTAGCACATGTAGCAATGAGAGGAGGAAGCAGGGGAGAAATAACAGCTCGTGATAACAATAGTGAGAAAGCAGGCTCAGAGAGAGCCCACTGAAAGGGTTTTGTTCAAAGGGCCACAAAACTTGGGAAGTGGGTCTGCCTCAGAATGTGGTCCTACGTTCTACCAAGAGCAAGTGTCATATCGCAGCAGACACTGGACACGAACTAGGCAACTGCAGGGCCCAGTCGTTGCCCAGCTGTGCAGCTCGCTAAGCCACCATGCTTTCCCCAGCCTCTTGGCCAAACCTGCACCACCAGGTTATTGCAAGGACACCAATGTCAGGAAGTC